TCATGTTTTCAACATTTATTTATGCTTTTGAATTTCATTATAGGACATTTATCTTTCTTCCAAAAACATTAATATTGATATTTATTAACAACTTTTATAGTTTAAAGTGATATATTGTTTGGGTCGATGTTGTTTATTACGGAACAAAAACCTTGTAATAAACTGCCAGTAAATGATCTGTTATTTTACAAACTTATTTCTCTATATATTATGTCTTATACATTATATTATTTAAATATTCTATTTGAAACTACTAAAATGTCAAAAGTCACTTTGTTTAACTAAGTTGAATTTTCAACATCAAAAGTCATCAGAGGTGACGCGATGGCGCAGTAGGTAGTGCTGTCGCACCACAGCAAGAAGATTGCTGGTTAGAGCCTCGGCTGGGTTAGTTGGCATTTCTGTGTGGAGTTTGCATGTTCTCCCACATTCGCGTGGGTTTCCTCTGGGTTCACCGGTTTCCCCTACAGTCCAAAGACATGTGGTACAGGTGAATTGGGTAGGCTAAATTGTCCGTAGAGTATGAGTGTGAAGGAGTGTGAATAAATGTTTCCCAGTGATGGGTTGCGGCTGGAATGGCATCCAGTGGATAGAAAAAAAACTTGCTTGATAAGTTGGTGGGTCATTCCGCTGTGGCGACCCCAGATTAATAAAAGGACTAAGCCGAAAAGAAAATTAATAAATGAAAAGTCATCAGAACAGAGATCAGGGTCCCATAATGCAATTCACAACCAAAATACTGTACACAGCAGATCTCACAACGCGACCTGCAATTAAAGGGTTACAAATTTAGCATTAGCTCTACTGTAAAAGATCTGGGTGTTATATTAGACAGCAACTTAACTTTTGAAAAATTATATCTTCCATGTCAAAAAAAACACCGTCATTCATGTGAGAAATATCGCATGTGAGAATAGTATTAAGAAGTATGCTATCCATCTCAGATGCAGAAAAGCTAGTCCATGCTTTTATGACTTCTAGGCTGGATAACTGTAATGCTCTGTCCACTGATTGCCCAGCATCCTCTGTTAAATAACTTTAGCTAGTACAAAATGCAGCTGCCAGAGTTCTTACCAGGTCTAGAAAATATGATCATATTACCCCAATTTTGTCCTCCTTACACTGGCTGCCTGTTAAGTTCCGTATTGATGATTCAATATTGCTTCTTACCTATAAAGTTTTAAATAATCTAATCTAACTAATCTATCTAATCTAATCCTGTTTATCTAAACAACCTTCTGTCTCGCTACAATCCAACCTGCTACTTAAGATCTCAAAACTCAGGGCTTCTGGTAGTACCTAGAATAGCAAAGTCTACTAAAGGAGGTTGAGTTTTCTCATTAATGGCTCCTAAACTCGGGAAAAGCCTTCCTGATAGTAAAGCATACACACAATGCATCACACAACAATATGAGTGGGCTTGACAACCATGTTTTAATGCACCAGACATTTTATTAGAAACACTCATATGCTTTATATGTTGTTTCTGTGCTTGTTTATATAACTGCTATTTTAATTTACAACACTCCGTTTTGGCATCTCGTTTAAATACACAATAAACAGCAGCTAATTATTTTCTATATTCTCTATTTCCACCTGGGGATACTCATCCCTAGACCCCTAGAGATTATGCAGCCCTTTGATGCGATCAAAGACCTGTGAAGAAATGATGCCAAGGTATCCATAAACCTGGACCAGGCCGGGTCCTGAGCTGATGCTGTGGTGTTCATGGAGGAGTGGAGAGCATGAGACTGATTCCTGAAAGACCACAGGGACAGGCGAGTCTTCACACTGATCCTGTGGGCCAGCCTGATCACATGCTGGTGACCTACTCACACGATGGACCTCCACGATGGACCTCCAGCATTCTTCAGCCTCCGACGCCTAGACTGCAGCTCCACTCAGAGTTTGGCCAGAAGAAAAATGGTCGTGCCCAACAGAGCCCAACTGAAATCTGGACCTTAGTAGAACTTATATGTTAAGCGGATTTGACACAATCTACATTGTAAAAGCAATATAGAAATAACATGAATTAAGTTAAATAAACAGAAAACACTTGTGAATCACACAATATAGAAACTGATCATTAACAGATATTTTTTACTATGTGAGTACATGACAGAACTAGTCTGCTGAAAATTACTTTGTAAAATGTATATAAAATGTAAAATGCAACTGATCTGTGATTAAAAAAAAAAACTTTTTACAAAATATTTAAAAAAATTAAGGGCAAGTGTACAGTAGTGTTTTCCTCATATTTTGGCGTGAGTTGTTTAAGTAGCTCCTGCTGCAGACAGCTCAGCTCTGAGGGTCTGAAGGCAGCAGTTGTCCACTAAAATCAGCTCACTGGATGATGCTGATAAGGCGTCCGGTGCTGAGAGCTCTCCTAATCCCAGTGTGAGTTCTGATGAGAAGCTTCTGCCCTGCCATGATAACTGGATGCTCCTGTCCATGATCAAACCTGTTTGCTTTGCAGGAATGTCCTAAAGGCTATATTTCACTCACAGCCCTACACACTGACTCTGCTAAAAGTTTATGTATGTGCGTTCCAGGGGAAAAAATTTGATTTTGCTTTAGTAAACTAGTAGGGGGGGAAATGCAAGTATCAATCAACAGACTGATGTAAAATTGTGTATTATTAGTCAATACAGGTATGTTGACCCATTCTACTCCTTTTTATGTAAAGGGATATTTTTAATCGTAATAAATATGTAATAGATGGCTAGAACCACACAGAATATGTGCACGCAGAATAATAGATTTCTAGCCTATCATTGAGTCTATTTATTTACTTGTGTAAATGTGTGTAAATTTATAATTATTCAGTTTTAAAATTAACTACAGTAATATTATTGACTAATATGAAAAGATTCATGATTAATTTTAAATAAAGTTTGTAAAGTAATATTTTCTGTCTTTTAGTAGAGATATTCTATGAGAGACTTGCTTTGTTTACCAAATAAAGTGGATCTAATTGGATTTGCATTGTAAACAATAAATAAATAAAATTACTAGTTAAAATAATTATTAGTTAAAAAGGTATTTTTTATTTCATATATAAAGGTTTTAGTTATGATACTCCCAAAATCATTCCGCATAAATCCACAGATCTTTAACACAATTCTGCGCAGAAATAGCAAAAAATGTCTGCAGATTCCGTCTGGCGCTACGAATGTTTTTTCTCCAGTTGTTTGAATATGCATGTACTTAAAGAGATAGTTCACCCCAAAACTAAAAAATGAAGTCATCATTTAATCATTCACTTGTCACAGACCTATTTAAGTTTCTTTCTTCTGTTGAACACAGTGAAAGATGCTTATTTTGAAAAATGCTGCAAATCTGTAACCATTGGTTTCCATAGTATTTGTTTTTCCTACTGTGGAAGTCAGTGCTTACAGGTTTCTAACAATGTCAGGTTTCTAAATATCTTGTGTTCAACAGACAACAGATGAATAAATAGTGAAAATATTTTCATTTTGGGTGAACTATCCCTTTAATATGTAATATTTATTTAAGTGGATGAAATATTATAAATATGAGCAATATCACACGAGTAGTAGTGCGATATGGCTGTATATCGGCACTGGTGGGAGGCGTGCGTTGACACGAGGCTGCAGGCCGAGTGCCTTAGTGCCCCCACCAGTGCCGATATACAGCCATATCACACTGTTACAAGTGTGATATTGCGTTTATACAACAGTTTGACGGCATAATTGTGTATATAAAAACAAAATCAAACATGGAGAGTCTCAAAAACCCTTTTGTATGAGGAACTATACATAAGCTGACAGTTAAACAGTTGAGCGTGCATCTTTTAAACTTTAGATCTGTAGTGTCTGCTTTTTGCTGGCTGTATGTGGGCTGAGTAATACACAAAGGGTAAAGAGGCTGAAGGAGATCTGATATTGCAGAATATTGCACGGCTATCAGCCAATCAGATTTGAGAACCAGACAGAACTGTATGTATGTATATATATATATATATATATATATATATATATATATATATATATATATAAAATCTAAATTTAAATATGAGAACATTAATATAATCATTTGGACCAACTTATTGTAATGTATTATAATTAGCAAGTTTATTTTATTAATAAATAACTAGAAACATTTATTTAAATTGATAGTTCATCCAAAACTATCATTATTTACTCACCCTTCACTTGTCATAAACTTGTCATAAACATAAACTTCACTTGTTTGAGTTAAATTATTTTGGAAAATGTTGGAATTCTGTAAACATTGACTTCCATAGTACTTGTTATTCCTATTATGGAAGTCAATAATTACTACGTTCTAACATTCTTCTAAATATCTTATTTTAAGTTCAACTGAAAAATCAAAATCCTAAAGGTTTAGAACCAAAAGAGGGTGACTAAATAGTGAATAAATTTTCATTTTTGGATGAACTAATCCTTCAACAGAAGGGACTAGTAGCATTTGGTAGATGGCTTTGTTTTAATGGCCAAAGACTGGGGTTGAGTTATTGAAGTCATTCCACAGCAGGGAGCAGTTAAAGTAAAAGTCTGAGCCTCTTTGGTACAGCACCACATCACACCATTTACTTGTGGTACACAAGCTTGTGGGGGGTGTATAATTCTACAATACTGAATTTGGGTGTATGTTTACAGAGCCTTGTTCCTAAATGATTGTTCTTGGCTTTCATTGAAGGAGTTATGGCTAAAGAACCAAGCCGAGAATTCGAGAAAAAGTGTTGAGATGCACAAAATGATAAGCAGTTCTCTCTAGACAGGGTGAATTTGAAGGTGATGGTGCTTCATCCAGCAAGCAAACCCTATCAAGCGGAATGAGATGTGAGCAGGTCAGATTATAAGGATGGATTGGGAGGTATACTCTCTAAAATAAAGTTACAAGAGCCGTCACTGGGGCAGTACCTTTTTAAAAGATATATATTTGTTCCTAAAGAGTCCATATTGTTTTAGACAAACAAAACTCTGAGACACACTATTGTCTAAGCTGATAACGTCAAATCATTTGAGTCAATGCCATTCAAGCAAATGCATGAACTAATTCTCTCTTTACTCTTTCAGTTTTCAAGATTACACAAAACAGGAAGAAAGGCAGGAAGTGGTGTGTTTCAAATGCTTCATCTATCATTTCAATCATGCGTTCGTCACGAAGGAGAGATGCTAAAAGTCTGTAAGACATTACACACTTAGCAAGACACACTTAGCATTATTTGGAACCAACAGTTAATTCGGAAGAGCCAAACGGTAGGATGTTGTTTGTAAGATTGTGTGGAATATTCAGTGTACGGTCAACAAGTTCAGATGTTCGGCAACCTCATGGTGAAGTTGCATCATAATGTCCTTTACCATGACGAGATCAGGTGCCTTCAAACTAAGCATCCTTTTGTTCATCACATTCCTCCTGTGCCTCCCAGAGTTATTCCCAAGTAAGTAAAAACAGCTAAGTACTATGGTTTCTGAGGAATTAAGGATAGTAGTGTGTGTTTGTCTGAACATGTGCATTTCAGAAAGAATGTTTAGATGTTAGCATAAGTAAAACATCTGGGTTTTCTGTGTCTTCAAGAGACACATTAGAGATTTTAGTGCATCATCATATATCTGTTTAGACTTTTGAACTTTAAAATAAGCTAAAACAGTTGTCTGTACTGTCAAATGTGACTACATCATTGTGGTCTGGACATGGTATGAGGTGTAAAAACCACTGAGGTGTGTGTAGGGCACGTCTATGGATCAGTGAGTATTCTTAAAATACATAACATTGTGTGTTTGAAAAGAATGCCGAAAATGTGTACCTTGACAAATACCTCACGATAGCTTGTGATAATAGAGAGGTAGCCTTAAAGGGATAGTTCACCCAAAAATGAAAATCTCCCCATCATTTACTGAATCAAGGGGTTCTATACTTTACATTTTTTTCTACTCCTGAATACAAAATAAGATATTCTGAATAATGTTGGAAAAAGCAGTCATTGAACCATATAGTTGGAACAAAAAATATTATTAAAGTCAACCTTTATCAGCCATAAACCTTAGGTATAATTTATAATAATAAAAAAAACACTATGGTGGTTCATTAGGTTACAGCTTTTAAACAGGAAATGCCACTCAAAAGTTGCACTAATAGTAACAGAAAATGGGTGTTTAAGGCAACAGGAAGTGCAGCTTTTCAAAATATACGCACATGTATGATAAAGATATCACATAAATTAACCTATTGTAATTTTGAATTATAATTATTGTAACATTAAAACCTTTTCTGTATGTTTTTGTGGAGCTTTTAGTGATATGTTATTGTTATGTCTGTAAGCAAGCCAATACGGATATTGGATGAAAAATAGGTCAATGGAATATTATATTTATTTCTTTATTAACTTTTTAATAATACATTTTAAAAATCACTTTGATATTTATTAGAGCTCAAGAAGGTAAAACTATCAGGATAATTTAATATGCATTTCCCAAAAGCTCAAAAAATATTTTAGCAACCTTTTCTTTACAATGTTATTGAAAAAATATAAACTAGACAAATATAGATGGGCTGGTACAAAAAAAGACTCTATCAGTCAACAGGCAAATATCTTACATATTAAACATTTTTTTGTTTTTATTGACTAGGGCTGTGGTTCTCAAAGTAGGGTTTGCAAGACAAATGGGGGGGGGGGGGGGCATGTTATTAAAATGTTAGAATTGCAGTGTTTTATCCATAACCTGCAGAAGATAAAAAAAAATAGCATTTAACAGTTGTAAAAAACAACATGCAAATATAAGCCAGTCTTTTAATTATTTTTCCACTTGATTGCAACCCCTGGGGTTATTACTCTAGATTAACGACACAGCAATTGTGTTATTTGCAGCAGATTGTTTTGAAGGCACAATGTTAAGCTTTGACACCGTTACGGTACTCACACACATTAAAAATAAAGGCCAAGACTGAACATAGAGGACGATCAACAAGTGGCAGTCACCAAAATTAAGCCAAGAAAAGTCTTGTGCTGTAAATATTATGCTCACCATTCAAAAATTATATGGTTTTTAGACTGTTGTACTTTTTTTTTTTTTTTTTTTTTTTGTCAAAAAGCTTATTTAGATTCTATAAGTGATGTTTGTATGTTTTTTACTACCTATGAAGATAGTGGAGTTTTTACCCCCTCTGAGGATAGTAATCGTGAGTCACTGCAATTGTCATTTTGAGGGTCACAAGTTAAAAAGTTTAAGAACTCCTGAACTTGTGGTTCTCTGCAAGTTTAGGATCCTCTATCAAATGGCAGAGATTCTTTCTTCATTCAATTTAACAATAAAATATGGTGAAACATGCAGCAGTTTGAAAGTCTACTCGTCTATTCTTATGTAAATAAATAAAAATGCCAAGAATAATGATTGTGTTAATAGCTAAACTACATTTATCAATAGATGGATGGATGGATGGATGGATGGATGGATGGATGGATGGATGGATGGATGGATGGATGGATGGATGGATGTATGGATGGATGTATGGATGGATGGATGGATGGATGGATGGATGGATAGATAGATGGATGCAATTCACAATAAGCTTAGAAAGACAAGAGATTAGTAGATAGATAGATAGATAGATAGATAGATAGATAGATAGATAGATAGATAGATAGATAGATAGATAGATAGATAGATAGATAGATAGATAGATAGATAGATAGATAGATAGATAGATAGATAGATGCAATTCACAATAAGCTTAGAAAGACAAGAGATTAGTAGATAGATAGATAGATAGATAGATAGATAGATAGATAGATAGATAGATAGATAGATAGATAGATAGATAGATAGATAGATAGATAGATAGATAGATAGATAGATAGATAGATAGATAGATAGATAGATAGATAGATAGATAGATAGATAGATGGATGCAATTCACAATAAGCTTAGAAAGACAAGAGATTACATTATTTTGAGATACGCTGTCAGACAGAAGATATGAAAGGATAAAAAAGTGTTCACTCACTGAAAGGTTCTTTATGGAGCCAACATCATATTTACATCACTGCAAAAATGTAAAAAACTGTAAAAATGTGATCAATATGTAATGACAACATGTTTTTTATGTTACCTTACCTTAAATTACATTATGTTTCAACTTCATTGTAATGAGGTTTAACTTAATTTAAATCAGTTTATAGTTATAATGTAAGGTCAATATACTTGTTAAGCTATTGAGGGAAAGTTTAGCAGAGCAGCAGTGTTTCCAGATGGGAAATGTCAAAGTATCGTACCAGAACCTCAGAATTATCGCATTTGGAAGGAAAATAATCGTACATGATTCAAATGGAGAGTATACAACTATTATCTAGACAAATAGCATTTTGACACACATACAAATTAACACAATACGTAAAAAAATTATAAATAAATAAATAAACCTGGCATACCTTAGTGGGAAGGTTTAAATTCTACTTCCGAGTCACTGTCATTGAATACCTGCATGTTACCAAATGTTGAGGTTAATTTTTCGGTACAAATTGGATGCCGTTATGGACCACAACATGCTGGTTGGCTTGAAAGTACTGCACCCTCCCAAATTTTGAACCCACTCTGAGGTGTGCACAATGTAATGAGCCGATTTGGTGGCTTTGATGAGATTAACGTTGGAAAAAACAAGTTGATATGATGCATTTGAATGGGGAAAAACTCAAGGGCAAACTGTCCTTCTCACCTTTCTTTTCAGCACAATTTTTTTATTTAAACTTTATTTCTTAAATGGTAGTCCTCAACCGTAAAACTACTAACCTAATTTTGCTTTAACTCCATGTTATCCTCACAGACAGTGGACAAAAGATGCAGCTAGATCAATGAGTAAAGAAGCACTAAGATAACAAAGAAATTCCTTTTAAATGCTATAAAATTCTGAAATTATTGTTCATCATGAGATTTTTTTCATTATTATACATATATTATATATTACATATTATATATACATAAATTGTATATATATTATACATTATACAGAGGTCGAAAATATCATACAAAATTTAAAATTACTGTACAAATACGATAATTATTGTACGTCTGGCAACATGAAGTGCAGTAAAAAAAAAAAAAGATTGTTTGAAATGGAAAAATAATATATATTTATATTCAAAATAAGTTTTAGAGTCATTAAAAATAGATATTAATATTACAAAGTCATATAAAAAGAACACAAATACAAAGCTATATGTCTAGACTCAAAATGCAGGCACTATACATCATTTCAAACCTAAAATAAGAAACATTATCTTTTATTTTCTCACTGAGTGTCGATGAAATGTAATTTCGTTCTGCATTACATCTATCATCACTGTTATGCTGATGACACCCAGATCAACATTAGCACCGTTGCTAATCTCACTTCGGCTACGTCAGTTCTATCAGCCTGTTTACAGGAAATCAAAGCATGGGCGAAGCAGAACTTTCTTAAATTGAACAGTTCTAAAACTGAGATTTTACTCTTTGGCAATCCCACCGTTAACAGGTATAGTGATTTTCAGCTCTCGATTGATGACATTTAATTATACCCCTCTTTCCAGGTCCGAAACCTCGCAATAGTATCTGGATGCAGCCTTTATGATGCAAGCTGAGATTGCATCACTCAGCGACGCAATGTCAGACACAATGCACTTAATGGAGTGAGTGATGTCACTGTGTAGGTAGGGTTAGGGGTGGGGTTAGGTGAGCGCAATAAAAAGCATTGGATGCAGCTTAGATTGCACTGCATCAGGTTTGCATCCAGACCCCTCTCCAACCTCGGGGTACTATTTTATGCTCAGCTCAGTTTTGACTTAACTAAAACAGCCTTTTTCCATCTCCGTAATATTGCACGCATTATAACATTTCTGTCACGGCCAGATGCTGAGAGGCTTACCTTCATAACATCCTGTCTTGATTTTTGAATTTGCTTTTTGGGGGGTTACCTGCAAATTATCTTAAAAGGTTCCAGTATATTAAAAATTCTGCTGCACATGTTCTGACTTATACATCCTTCCTCTCTCCATTATACCACACCTTTTCTCCAGCAACTACATTGGCTACCGGTTAGGTCACGTATTGATTTTAAGACTCTCTTAACTGATAAAGCAGTCCATAGGCTAGCTCCTGATTACATCTGTGATCTTGCAACACTTTCTACTCTTGCTCACAGTTTTCGCTATGCTTCAGGTCTTACCCTGTTCCAGCCACGCTGCAGACTTAACACTATGGGTGTTAGGGCTTTTTCATACTGTGCGCCAAAATTATGGAATGCAATACCCATTACTAATAATGCCGTGTCTCTGGATTGTTTTAAGAAGCTTCTTAAGACTCACCTCTTTAGCAGTGTTTTTAATGTGTGATCTATTGTTACCTTACTTATTGTGATACTTTCCTACTTATTGTTTTTACTTTTTTATTGTTTTTTTTTTGTTGTTGTTGTTTTTTGCCTTGTAGCATTTTGAGCTTAAGAAAAGAGCATTACAAATGAAATGCATTATTATTATTATCTACTGTGATGTTTTGAATAAAATACCGGAAACTGAACTGGACATCATTTTGTTTTTCCTCAGACATATCTCAAATTGAGTTCCTCTGTGAGCCTTTCGACTTTTGCACGTCTGAAAGCAATGCACAGCTGTGTGGTCTTTCTGACCTTGCATGTGCCACAGAAACTATAAACACCAGCGGTCCACACAGACAGGACGGCTGGTATGCCTGTGCATCTCAAATGGATCTGAAGCTTCTCCAAAACAACACTTCACAGTCAGGTGGGACGCTTCTTTTATTATATATTTTATGTGTGAAATTTACTGCTGCTTTTTATTCTTTTTATTGTCCACAACAGTAACCATTAACAATGGCTGTATGATTCACAGGAGAGCATGTGATGGCCGTTCTGACCATGAAAGCAGCCAATCTCTCAGTGTGGAACTACAGTGTGTTTGCTTTTCTCAACAACACTGATCTATACGCTAAAGCCCACGATGAGCAGACCCTCTTCTACTGCAATCTTCCACCAGACAACAGCAAATGTCCAGGTCTGAGCATTTCAAGACAAGAAAACCGCAGTTTTTCTCATCGAAGCACAAATAGAGTTGGAGTCAAAATTATTAGCCCTCCTTTTCCAAATATTTCCCAATTGATGTTTACCAGAGCAAGGAATTTTTCACAGTAATTCCTATAATATTTTTTCTTCTGAAAATAAGACCTATTTGTTTTTGTATTTTGTCAAGAATAAAAGCAGTTTTAATAAAATAAAATAAAAATTTTTAAGGTCAATATTATTAGCCCCCTTAAGCAAGATCGTCTAAAGAACAAACCATTGTTGTACATTAACTCTAATTACCCTAACTTCTCTAATTGTCCTAGTTAAGCCTTTAAAGACGAAATGAAGCACTCAGTCAAGTTTACATTACTTTGTACATTGGATTCCACTTTAATGAAAATATATTAAACAATTTCAATTAATGTAACTATTTAGAGAAAAACGGCATGTTTTGACAATATGAGCGAAGCAAAGCGTGTCAAATGATCAGTAATAAAAAAGGGGGAAAAATGATTACATATAGGCGACGCAGTGGCTATAGTGTGTGTGTGTGTGTGTGTGTGTGTGTGTGTGTGTGTGTGTGTGTGTGTGTGTGTGTGTGTGTGTGTGTGTGTGTGTGTGTGTGTGAATGTGTTTGGATGTTTCCCAGAGATGGGTTGCAGCTGGAAGGGCATCCGCTGCATAAAACATATGCTGGATAAGTTGGTGGTTCATTCCGCTGTGGCAACCCCAGAATAATAAAGTGACTAAGTCAAAAAAGAAAATAAATGAATGATTAAATAAATGTATATTTTTATATTAGACACATATCTGATGCTTGTTTTTGCAACAGCTCCATGCCCACAACTTCACACATTCAGTTAATTAGGCTTTACGGTCTCTGTGTTTAGTCCTCTACTTCCACTGTATCTGTTCAGTTGAGGGAACGGAACCAACCCTGTGATGTCAGACACAGCATTATTCCTGGATGGCGGCGCCCTAGCTTTAAAACCTATAGTAAAACTTGCCGTTTTTTTCTAAATGGTTACATTAATCGAGTTTGTTTATCGTATTTTCATTAAAGAGGAATCCAATGTACATAATAATGTAAACTTGACCGAGTGCTTCATTTCCCCTTTAAATGTCACTTTAAGCTGAATCTTTGTATCTTGAAAAATACCAAGTTAAATATTATTTACTGTCATCAAAGCAAATATAGAAGACATCAGTTATTATAAATGAGGTATTAAAATGATTATGTACAGAAATGTGGTGAAAAAATCCAATAAACAGAAATTAATTCAGGAGGGCTATTATTTTGACCTCAATAAAAACCAGTTACTTCTTCACTTGAAACAACTTCACTGTCTTTTGAATTAACAGTGTTAAAGGATGAGGTAAAGTGCCAAGCAACCAGCAGCAGTTTCCTGTTTTACTATCATGAGCACAACGTAACTGCAAGCCCTGCTGAATTACCAAATACGCAAGCAAAAAGAGGTGAGAAACTGTCAAAAACTGAAAAAAGGGCGGGAAACTGTCAGAAAACGTCCGCTTATGCATTTCTACACACAAGACAAATGACAATGAGCCAATGAGGGATAGTTCACTGAAAAAAATTAATTTACTCATTCTTTACTTGATCAAAACCTTTTCAAGTTTCTTTCTTCTGTTGAACACTAAAGGAGATATTTTGAAAAATGTTGGTTGCTTCTGAGACCCACTGACTTCCAGTGTCATTTTTTTCCTGCTATGAAAGTCTATGGTTACAGGATTTCAGCATTCTTCAAAATATCTTATTTTGTGTTCAACAGTGGAAAGAACCTCATAATGGTTTAAAACTACAGTAAATGTAGAGGTCATTTACATTTTTGGGTGAACTATCCCTTTAAGGATACAATAATTACCAACATACCTTTTGTTAGTTTTTAAAATTATTGCTGGGTTTGTAAGCAAAAGCGAAGACATTTTTTGCTTTTTATATGGAATGAAGCACAAATAAGAACTGAGTCAAGGACAAATAGAGCGCCGCTTGTGTTTTTACACCACAATATGTGTCCCATGAGCGCTATGTAGTTTTATAGGTCAATAAGGCAGTGTTTGTATTCTTCTAGCAGTGTTGCACTTTCAAAACAACTACTTGATTTTTTGGTTTCAGGGCAGAAGTTCAGATGGCAGATAAGCAAGAAACAGGAGAGTTGATTGATTGATTGATTGATTGATTGATTGCTTGATTGATTGATTGATTGATTGATTGAAAATATGTACTCATTTATTTATTCAACTATGCATTATGCTTTTAAAGATATCCAAAATATATTGGTAATAGGTTTTTTTACGTTTTAATAATTTTTATATTTAACTCTCGCTAAGAGTTACCTAGTTTTTGAATATGTGTATATATTATAAGCCCAATTAGATTTAATTTTAGCTATAAACCACTGTTGTCCTATGACCAGTGCCAGACGGAATCTGCGGATGTTTTTTGCTATTTCTGCTGAGAATTTTGGTAAAAATCTGTGGATTTCTGTGGAATTATTTTGGGAGTCTCATAACTAAAACCTTAATATGTAAAATGTAGTAATACCTTTTTAACTTTTATTTAATGTTTAAATTGCAAATCTAATTAGATTCACTTTATTTGGTAAACAAAGCAAGTCTCTCATAATATATCTACTAAAAGACAGAAAATATTACTTTACAAACTGCATTGTACAAAAATCAGATGAACATTTTCACATTAGTCAATAATATTACTGTACTTAATTTAAAAAACTGAACAAAAATTAATTTACACACAAGTAAATAAACAGAATTAATGATTGGCTAAAAATCTGCGGAATTTCGCACGTGCAGATTCCGTGTGAGCCTACCCATGACCTAATTAACCTAACTTGCCTAGTTAAACTAATTAACCAAGTTAAGCCTTTAAATTGCACTTTAAGATGAATACTAGTATTAAATATTATGTGCTGTCATCATGGCCAGCACGACAAAATAAATTTGATAGAAGTTATGCTTAAAAATGTTTAGAGAAAATCATCTCTCTAATAAACAGCACTTGGGAAATTAATGAAATCTAAATAAAATTTCACAAGAGGGCTGATTATTTTAAATATAATTTAAATTAAGTGAATTAATTGCTAATATTAATGTTATTAATAATTATTAATATGTTTACAATGTTAACCAATGCCACAGAAGAACCATTTTAAAGTTAAAATAATTCAAAGAATGTGTCCAATGAATATTTTTCCACCATAACCTTGAAAAAGTTCCCTGAATATTAAGCGCTCTTCATGCAACCATTAATGCCGCTGAAGCACCTTTTTTAAAAGCGGCATATACAATATGAAACTAATCTATTTTTCCAAATTTACAATACTTTTCAAATCTTTTTTGCTAAATATGCAGCACAGAGTGAATCCCTCTCTCAGCCCGGTCTATCTACCTTTCTCATAAATTCCCTCTGAAGGGAAGCTCAGGCTGTCTTTTATGTTGTCTATTGATTCGGGCATGGCAGGAGACAGCAGGACTCCATAATTCAACCTAACTTTTGATAAATATATCATAGCAATACATCAAGCCAGTCTACTCAATGTTTGACTGATCCAAAACCACAAATCCTCTCAGACGGCACGCAGCCAGACTCTCACAAGGTCATCTGAGTTCAGTGTAAAATCAACCTGGCAAGACTTCTAAGACGAGAGAAGAGTGTAAACTAGGAACTTCTGAAGTTTAAACATTGTGTTATTTTACGTCGTTGTTCATGCTTTAGACATGGTGTGTGTGTTACTATACTTTTGCTCTGGTAAAGTTTCTGTAGCTACTATAGCTCACTTGGCTTGTTCTTAGAGTGCTGATGTTTGATTTTTTCCCCCAGTGTGGTTGGCTTTGGTGCTGACTGTGGTTGTGGTAACTATTCTGAGTGTGGGCTTCCTGATCATCAAGAGCTGCCATCTTTATCATAGTAAGTATCGCTTGTACAAGATAAACAAGTCATGCCCAAAAGGCAACTTGCTGTATAAAATCCATTTAAAAAAAAAAACAATAAAAAAAACAATGTGCATTTAAGAAGTGTGCCTCACACAGATGAGTGGGTTTTACAAACCACCTGTAGAAACACTCTTCACTCTACAGTATATACACCAGACACTTCCCCTAAACTTCTTACTCAAGCACTTAATTCTCTGATTGTGTGTATTGTCTCTTCATTTTGAATCACTGAATGCCTTCTCAAGAAAGGCATCTGCTAAATGACTAAGGCCGCATTTACACCGCACTGTTCAATTGACTCAATTCCGATTTTTTTCTCACATGTGGCACAGATCAGATATGGCCCATGTACGTGTAAGCAGTAAGAAATCACATGGATTCCAATTTACTCAAATCAGATTCAGGCCTTGTCCATATGTGGAAATTTATGCGATATGAATTGGATCTGTGTCCTCATGTCTGCAGTGTAAGCAGGTACAAGGGATTTTTACCTGTCAATGCGATTCGCGCATCATTAAAAACCATAGCGAATGATGTCAACTCTGACGCTTTCATTTCAGAACAGAATTTAGCAGAGTCCCAAACCTTAAATCTCATCCACGAGGACTTAAACAGCTTTTATATTGTCATATAGCACAGGTATTAAAGTATGTTAACGAAAGCGAGAGAGCGCAATTTCCGCCACGTAACCAATATGCACTAATATAAAATTAGTGCATACATCACGTGCATAATTCACGCCATGGACATTACATTAAGATGCCTAAAGGTTTAAAAAAGCCAATATATCAAAAGAAGATGGACAAATAAGTGGACAAAGATGGACAAATAATACTTTTCCGTCATAAACTATACTAATACAGCTTGTCAAAAGCTGCTAACAGATTATATACAGGAATAGAGAAAAGAGCACTCTTTAATTACCAGATGTTAGTCAGCGCACGCTCTTTTTTTTCCTAGTCATTGCGCCTTTGCCATGTGTAAATGCAGACGATCGGATACGAGTAACTTTTAAAAGGTGATGTGAAAAGGTCATCAAAAAAATCAAAAACAGTCACAAATTCAGAATTGACCATCAAGATCTGCAGTGTAAATGCAGCCTTAATGTAAAATATCCACCTTTTTCTACACTACACACACTGTATTTTACTTCCAATTTGGGAATTGAATTGTCCATTCAAAAGAACTGAAACAATTGACTTCAAATACTAAGGCTGAGGTTCTAGGATTTTCATACTGTACATACTGAAAACTGAGTGAGATGTAAGTTTGGGTTTGTTCTGTATTTTTTTATCCATCCTGGTAATAGCGTTATTTTTGGCTACAAGCTACATTTTTCAGGAGCTTGTCAGTAGCTTACTTGAAAAGATGAAATGACAGTACTTATGAAATGTAGCTTTTCCAGTAGCTAGCTACTTTTTCCAGCAAGTAGATACCCTTATTTCATGCAGCTGCCATTTTAAAAAATGAAAGTGAGGGTGTACTCAAACTATGCTACCCGAACAGTGCCCAGGCCTGTTTTCCAGATCATTTAAAAAGTGTGAGTGCTCTGAATCGGGCTCAGGCATGGTTTACTTGACCGGCCCTGCCCAGTTGGAGAAGGTGTGCCAGAGCGTGGTTCACTTGGGCTTTTGCGCGGTACACTAGTAGTGTGAGTGCAAAATGCGCCTGGGCACGAAACTGAAGACGAGACGTGACTTTTAAGGGACTGTTTTATTTGGATTTATAAGTCATTCTTACTGTTCAATCAGACTGTCGTAAACCCTCACTGCATGACAGCTGCACCCTCAGCAAACCTCCTAATTCTTGATGCACGCAGACTTTTTTTATTGTTTATGAGCGTCAAAAGTGGCAGATCTGTTCAGCAAAATATTTGACTGCGTGTCACTGCATCCCAAACGACTAAAGCAATATGACTAATGGAATCTCCTCTGTGTTGATCGAGAGCGCTTACTAAACAGTGCATCATCGTTGACGTAAGCATGCCCAAGCCCGACTGTAATATGAGTGCGGGCCATCAGGGGAGACGTGAGGGGGGACAAGCGTGCTTTGGCCCAGTTCAAGGCAACTATACATAGTGTGAGTACGCCCTGAGGCTGCAGTGGGAAGAAACCTAGAAGTAGAGGACCAGCAATGTAAACATTTTAACAACATGTTTAACAAACCTTTAGCTTTCCAAACTCCAGTCTGAGATGTTTGACAACTAATCAAACATTAAGCTTTGACATTATAATTATATTGTTTTAAGTGTTATTTACTTTATATTTACTTTAAAAATACATTTGTGATTTCGTAATATAACTCTTTGTGAAAAAGTAGTTTCAATGTAACTAGCTACATTCAGGAAGCAACTTGTAGCTAGCTATTCTTTTTTTAGAAGTGTAATTTGACAATAGTTTCCTGTATACTTGCAGATGAATAGCTAATAGCTTATCAAACCACAGTTTCAGAGTAACCCCAACACTGAACTCTTTTAGGTTCATTTTTGTTCCCCCAGATTACTTTCACTCTGTATTTCCCACACTATAAAAAGCAATTGGTTACCTTATTTTTTTTAAAGTGAGTAAATCCATTGTCTTAAAAGCAAAAAGGAGCATAAACCTATTGACTTTTTGTACATAGTTTGTTTACTGAATAATTTGAATGATGTGTGAACAACTGTCACATTTTGGTCTTCTTCTTCAAGGAAAATCCAAAATGGTGAGATTTTTGCCTCTTTCAGCCGGTAGACGTCCGCTCAAAAAGCCGAGCAAGCAAAAACAGAATTGTGAGTGACACTAACAACCTAGTATTATATAGTCACAAGATGTTCCAGTGATTGTGCTAATGAATTGTCTGTTTTCTTTTTCAGCGATGAGAAACGTCCCTGATGTGTCCATTGCAATAAGCAGCATTAATGGTAATCAAGTGTTTATGTCTTGAGATTGTTGGACAAATGTGTTATTTTTGAAGCAACCATTCTTCATTAGTGTAAAGAAATAACTTACAAAAATGACTATGCCAATACTGAAAGGTAACACGTCTTGTGTATGATATACAGTATACATATGACTATATTTAATATTGAATTAAATAAGCCTATATTTTTGTAAAACAGCAAATATTCTGGTTGGGTTTAGGTCGGTGGTTCACCAGGTGATACGTTATAAGAAGGACATGTATCTGAAACATATTAAAAATAATGTTTTTTTCAGATCTGCAAAAATGTACACGGCGCCCTCTAGTGGATTTTTCATCTGAAAAGTGCAACAAAATGTAGCCAGAGCATGTATTTCATGTTTCGGAAATATATAAACCAGCTGTAAATTGACAGAAATTTCCTGTAGTTACTTGCTGATGAGTAGCTTATAGCTTATCAAACTACTTTTTTAGAGTAACAACACTTATCTTTTTTAGGTTCACTTTTGTTCCTCCAGATTAATTTCTCTCTGTATTTCTAACAGAAATATAGATATAATTGAAATTATTGCTTAAGCCTACATTTTTGTGAAACAGCAAAACTGCTGGTTGGGTTTAGGTCAGTGGTTCACTAAGTGATACGTGTAAAAGAAGGACATGTATCTGAAACATGTTACAAAAATTTTTTTTTTCAGATTTGCAAAAATGTAGACAGCGCCCTCTTGTGGATTTTTTATCTAAAACTTACAACAAAACATACGAAGAGCAATGTATTTCAGATTTCAGAAATATGTAAACTAACTGTGGCGCGTATTTCCAATGAGGTTTGGATGCAAATGCAATTGTAAGAATAGTTTTTATAATAATCTTGACAGGCATCTTTAGAACAAGAATAATTTGATGAAATATTAAAAGACATGCATTTAAGTGTCGCGGTGCAACCCTAATATACTAAATCATTTTAAAGCTTTGTACTTTTTCACAATTGTTTTGTTTAATTATTCATTCATTTAAATTTCAATGCCTTTAATGTTTAAGAAAGGATGTTAAATTAGTGGCCTTGACTTTTTAAAAACTATATATTTGGACATTACCAAAAACCAGGGGCCTCATGTATCAACGCTGCGTACGCACAAAAACTTTGCGTACGCCAGGTTTCACGCTCAGAATCACTCACGTTTGGATTTACTAACATAAACTGAACATGGGAATGTGCGCAGGTTTACGGCAGCTTTCTGGCAGGCGTACGCACATTTTTTGTGCGTGTCTGTTTTATTTCCATTGGCGACTCCTAGAGGCAGTTGTGTTAAATTCTTCTCTACAAAGTGTCTGATCCTTGCAATGGCAGCTGTATGAGACGGGTTCATATAGTAGGTATGTAAGATTTCCATACCATACAGTTGACCAGCTAAACATTAAAGCGCAAATTGCAGCAGTCGCCTGTTTTCCCAATGTAATCTGAGCGATCTACCGCATGCACATTGCTATAAAGACACTATCTGAAGATGAATTTGCATGTGTGAATCAGAAACATTTCCATTCAATAAATGTGCAAATAAAATATGATGCACAAACTTATTGATGATTCCTACTTGTCTTTCTCTTGATAAATAGTGGGCAAAATCTGATATGTAGCGGGGAAAAAAAGAAGACAGAATTCATCAGACGCTGGTTTCGAGCCGAGTTTACGCTCGAACATGTCTGGACATGATTTCATGCTTCTTATGAGGTGCGCCACTGAGACTGCTTAGGGTATCGCAACATTTTTCATTCATAAACCACACTATTTCTTTTTTAAATGCACTCAGTGCAATGTTCAGACCCAACTGTGTTAACCGTATCAGCTAAACTCTCCCACTCTATTTTTTTCTTTTGTTGTTAATTCCGGAGAACAAACTTGCAAATAACACCGCTTTTCTCCGGTCTACCTCCGAAAGCAGCACCTCCAATTCACATTCTGTTCAAAGTTTCTCTTTTTGCTTGATTTTGCCGTTGCTTTTTCGTTGGGTTTTCCATTAGCATAATCATTAGCATATTCATACAGGGGAGGAGGCAGGGAGGGGTTTTGTGCTCGTGCATGTTGCGCTCAGTTTCACGTTCATTCAGATGTACAAAAGAATATGCGTGAGATTCGGCGTACGCAGTGTTTCATACATCTGAATTTTTTTCTGCGTACGCACATTTACAGCTTTGTGCGTACGCAATGTTTTAGTAAGATTTCCACGCAAGTCTTCGTACATGAGGCCCCAGGGCTTTTGTATACATCTTTAGCTTCTTTTATGATGATGCATTGTATGTGTTCAGACAGAGAGGTAAACAAATGACCTGTTTTATCATATTCAAGGATTTTTAACCCAGACCCTCTGTACATTGTTTTTCACAGATAATCTGCTCAAGGTAGCTGACCACATGTACAAAAGAAGTAAGTGTTTGGGTATTTATTATTAAGCAGAGTGATGTATATAATGAGAAATTACTTTGGTGGAATTTATGGCTAATTGTCGCTCACTGTTCACCCAAAAATGAAAATTCACTGTAAATTTACTCACCCGCAAGCAGACTTTTTAGCTGGAACTGTGGTACATGGTGATCCAAGTCAACGACTATCTGCACTCTGAGGGTTAAAAAACACAAAGTACAGACAAAACAAAGTTTATAACTGTGGGTCCTGATGATCAGGGTTGCCAGGTTTCTTCAGCAAATCAAGACCAATGGCCAATCAAAACTAGCCCAATAGTATAAAAACTGAAAATATGCTACCCCATTTGTAAAATACACATTGTACATCACCATATGCATTATACACTAAATAACTATGTTATTATCAATGTAGATCATGTTATCAAAAAAAAATCATCTTACCTTACAATTGTCTGCACAACTTGCATCGTGTCTCTCGTGTCACTGATGTGGGCTCTCCAATTAAAGACATAATGGATGCAGCCAATTGCAGAACAACTCCTGCAAAACTATACCAATGATTGAACCTCAAAATTAGATGCCAGTGTCCTGCATAGTTTACCTGCAACTTCCTTCAACTCACCTCCCTGGACATTTCTAATATACCTAGAAAGAGCTTGATTAGCTAGTTCAGGTGTGTTTAATTGGAGTTGTAACAAAATTATGCAGGACACCGGCCCTCTAGGACCGGCGAGTTTGGACACCCCTGATTTAAGATATTCGTAGTTCAATTGTAAACTGACTTTCTTTCTAGATGACATATGCTTTTTACGCTATTATTTAACAACAATCCTTATAAGTCCTGCCATAGAAACAAAAACAGCAATTAACACACTCTACAACTAACACGGTCTCTGACACACAAAAAAAGTGTGCACTCACCCACGTTAATCATCCAAGCAGCGTTTGTATCATTGGTAGAATATATAGTTTAGTATAAAAATGGTATAGTAAAATATTTCAGCACAACCATAAAAAAATAAATGATGTAATATGTTAAACCTTTAACTCACAAAATAAGAAACCAACCCATGACAAGTGATTAAAAGTAGCCCAATTCTATGGGAAAACTGTGGACTTGGCAACCCAGCTGATGACATGTTGAGGTCTTATGAAACAAATCAATCTGTTTGTGCAATAAAACATGTAAAATGCCCCATAAGATGTTATAAACATGTATCACTTCCTTATGTGGCACAAACCCCTTTAAGACCTACTAGAAAATGGCAAGCTATAAAAAAAGCCATACAAAAGCTGTTACGACCCCCTTGTTTGAGTCGCAACATAAAAGAGCTCAGACAACAAAAGAATATATTTTGCAACTTATTTATTATATATAAAACTAATAGAACAACAAATCAAGGAACAAACAAATTTCTAGGGATAAACAAAGAAGAAAACTAACTTTAATTATATAAATCATGCCAAATGAAACTATAAGGTTAAAGAATTATAGAGATTGTCTTGACAAGAGGACGGCCAAGTAGCCACACCATCCCCTAGAAACCGTCACATCACTCTCATTTATATGATTTAAACCAATCGGTGGGTAGGCAGCCACAAAATCAGGATCTGGCTTCTAAAATACACACATCGATCAAAAATGTATGTGCCACATTCAGCCTTACATACCAATTTAAGGAAGAACCAGAATCCTATTGCTAAAATTAATGATGTGTGTATATGTGATTTGTGTTATAATGACCTCTTATGTTTTAGGTTTGTCACCCATCTATGAGATTACAGGTATGAGATGTTTTGCTTGATATAGTTTGGGATTTAGTTCTGCCCTACCTGCATGTTTATGTGTATTTATATTGTATAAAACTAGATGGATATCAAATGTCACTAGTTTGTCACTCTATTTGGTCCCACTTTATACTTAGTGGCCTAAACTAACAACTATGTAGTTGCATTAAAAATGAATATAATGTACTTCCTGTGTTCATATGTTGCTGAACATTCTGGTGCTCCTAATGTTGAATACAGCTAGGGTTAGGGACAGGTTTGGTGGTATGGAGAGGTTTGAGGAAATGTTAGGTTGTAAGGGATGCTCAACAATGTAATTAAAGATGTACTTACAAGCAGGTATTTAATCAATCACAAGTACAATGTAAAACATGTATTTACACAATAAATACATTGTAACAAATGATTACATTTCAGTGTAAGCACATATTAGTTAAGGCTACTTATTATAAATTGGGATCCACTATTTACTTAAGTTTAATCTATGTTGTGTTAATGTGCTTTTCTATTATCTTTTTTTCTCTTCTCTTTTTCTTAAATTGCAAGTTTTGAAAATATTGAATTTCATAAAGTCATGCCAATAAAGCAATTTTTAATTGAGGATGAATAGATGATAGAAGGAGAGACGGACAATAAGAATAAAAGACAGAGGGGTGTATGGATGGATGGATGGGTGGGTGGATGGATAAACAGGTAGAAAGCAAGATAGATGGTATGAAAGACCAACACAATCTCACGGCAATTCGTAACTTTTTCATTTAGTGGCTAATTCGTATGAATTCGTACGATCTAATTCGTACAATTTAGTACGATTTTCTTATCCCCCAATGACGGTTTGGGTTAGGGGTGGGGTCAGGTGCCACGCCTCCTTTTTAAAATCGTACCATTTCGTACGACTGAACTCGTATGAATTCGTACGAATTAGCCACTAAACTGGCAAAACGTAAAATACTTACGTTTTCTCGTGAGATCAGGCTGGAAAGACAGAGGGGTGTATGGATGGATGATTAGAATAAAACACGGACAGAAGGATGGATGAATGGAATTCAAAAGACAGACAGACAGACAGACAGACAGATTAATTGTTGGATGGATGGATGGAATGAAAGACGGATGGATGGATGGATGGATGGATGGAATTAAAAAGACAGACAGACAGACAGATAATAATTGCTTGATGAATGGATGGACAAACAGGCAGATAGCAAGACAGATGGATGGATGAATGGATAGAGGAATAGAATAAAAGACAGACAGACACATAAATACATACAGTGCATAGCATCAACTTGAAGAAATTACTTGGGGGTGTATGGATGGATGATTAGAATAAAACACGGACAGAAGGATGGATGAATGGAATTCAAAAGACAGACAGACAGACAGACAGATTAATTGTTGGATGGATGGATGGAATGAAAGACGGATGGATGGATGGATGGATGGATGGATGGATGGATGGATGGATGGATGAATGGATGGATGGATGGATGGATGGATGGATGGATGGATGGATGGAATTAAAAAGATGGACAGACAGACAGACAGATAATAATTGCTTGATGAATGGATGGACAAACAGGCAGATAGCAAGACAGATGGATGGATGAATGGATAGAGGAATAGAATAAAAGACAGACAGACACATAAATACATACAGTGCATAGCATCAACTTGAAGAAATTACTTGGGGGTGTATGGATGGATGATTAGAATAAAACACGGACAGAAGGATGGATGAATGGAATTCAAAAGACAGACAGACAGACAGATTAATTGTTGGATGGATGGATGGAATGAAAGACGGATGGATGGATGGATGGATGGATGGATGGATGGATGGATGGATGGATGGATGGATGGATGGATGGATGGATGGATGAATGGATGGATGGATGGAATTAAAAAGACGGACAGACAGACAGACAGATAATAATTGCTTGATGAATGGATGGACAAACAGGCAGATAGCAAGACAGATGGATGGATGAATGGATAGAGGAATAGAATAAAAGACAGACAGACACATAAATACATACAGTGCATTGCATCAACTTGAAGAAATTACTTGAACTTGCTACAACTATAATTAAGAGTCTATTTCAGCTTTATTAATAAAACCTTTCCAAACGTACATAAATCTGACTTGAACAATTTATTTAATTTCAGAGGATGAAGAAGGGCAAAATGAAAATCTGGAACAAGAGCAATGTAATGTCTCTGTGCCACTGGAAGGTAAATATTTTACAGTGTGCACTTCATGAAAATAATGCATATGTAAAGCTTTCCTCTGTATTATTTTGACGATTTATTACTTTGAATAAAAATAACTCAACGGCCAAAGAGCCTCAAGCATTCCATGTGTTTGGGATATTAAACAGCATTTATATACTTTAAATTCATGGTAAGCGGAAACACAACAAAGCAGATTAATACTTGAAAAAGATGTCCACACCGATTTCCTCACCCATCAGCTGATGTAACAAAATCTGATGTCTGACGTTGATACAGTCTTTAGTATTTTGCTGTCACAACTAGTTCCTATCCAGTATAGCCTGACACAGTCTTTGAATTGCATAATGTCTCATTCGGTCACATTGATGATGACACGAGCTGATGATGGGTAGATCTTTGATGCCAGTATGTTGCTTGCGGCAGAATAAATTACGCTGCAGATGGCCGCATGGTGAGACTGATGTTGCCATGGTTATAGAATTCTACAAGATACATTTTTAATAAATACTGTCATTTCTACAGAGATTAAACAATTACATCTGGCAGCACAAGACCACTGTCAACCTTCAAGTAAGTGATCATGTGTCCAGTTTGTCATTAATGAACTATAAGCCGATAAATAGCTAAAGCAATGGTCTCAAACTCAATTCCTAGAGGGCCGCAGCTATGCATTCTCAATTCCAAGAATACAGAGAACAGACTTGCGTTCTTGTGAAGACTGGCGCTGCCAGATCACCTCAGAAGAACAAACTTGGGAGAAATGAGATGCTGCGTTCTACTAGATGGTCACATGATGAATTTTTAACGGAAAATTATTTAAACATTACTGCATTCATACAATTTTTTGTTTTTCCCCCTTTTCAATATAAACATGCACAAAAACCTTACAAATATAGTTTACACAATACAAATAAAACACATTTTAATACCAATTTCAGCAAATAAACGCCCTTAAAGAGCCCCTATCATGGGTTACACATTGCATGGAAATGACCTTCCATGCATTGTGTAACAGCTCTAGTGTCTGAGTCGTGGCTGGGCACCGATGTGTGTACCCTGATAGAAACCTATGTTTAGAATTCTAAAGTGTATGGCGCTGCATGCCATGTTTCTGAGCCGCGCATCTGGTGTGCGAGCCCTTTAAGGCTTAAATATGAAAGTGCACCATGTTTAAAACTATTGATTCATCTATAAAAGAGTCGACTCAAAGTGGGTCAACAGAATGTAAAACGTCTTTAGCCGTGTCGGCATGATGTCGATACGGAACTGAAGCCCCGCCCATTTGTTGCGCGTGGAGAGCGAGGAAAATTACGCAGAAGGAAAATTAAGAAGGAAAAGGAGGAAGACACTATAGCAGATATATATATATATATATATATATATATATATATATATATATATATATATATATATATATATAGTTGAAGTCAGAATTATTAGCCCCCCCTGACATATTAGCCCCCCTGTTTATTTCCCCAATTTCTGTTTAATGAAGAGAAGATTGTTTCAGCACATTTCTAAGCATAATAGTTTTAGAAACCTATTTCTAATAACTGATTTATTTTATCTTTGTCATGATGACAGTAAAAAATATTTTAGTTGATATTTTTCAAGATACTTCTGTACAGCTTAAAGTTACATTTAAAGGCTTAACTAGGTTAATAAAGTGAACTAGGCATGTTAGAGTAATTAGGCAAGTTATTGTATAACGATGGTTTGTTCTGTAGACTATCGGAAAAAAAATTTGCTTAAAGGGGCTAATAATTTTGTCTCAAAATTGTTTTTTTTAAAATTAAAACTGCTTTTATTTTAGCCAAAATAAAACAAATAAGACTTTCTCCAGAAGAAAAAATATTATCAGACATACTGTGAAAAATTTCTTCTTCTGTTAAACATCATTTGGGAAATATTAAAAAAAGGGAAAAAAAAAATCAAAAGGGGGCTAATAATTTTATTTTATAATTTTATCCATAATGCAAATGCCATTAATATATGACTAATCAACATTATACTACTAGCATTCATGTTGTTATTCATACAACTTAAAAGATAACAGCTGACCTGGCTAGCTAGCTAACCCATTGCAATATTGCACATTCCACTATTGCACATTTGGCAACACATACATTTGATCGATTTACAGAAAACTAATTTGATAAAAAACTTTTTTGAAATATGTCTTATATATCATCATAACTTATGGGAGGTGATGTCTCAGATCTTTTTGCAGATCGGACATGAGTCGATCCTTTGTTTTATTGACGTTTTCATTTGCATTCAGCAACTACTCACAATAAACACCAGTCTGTCAAAAATTGCTTTACAGATAAACACTACACCTCTTGCGACTTAACCAAAGCACATCATTGGCTAAACTAAGGTCTTCTCTTTCCACCTAAAAAAAAAAAAAAAAGTAGAATGTTGGTCTTAAAACGCGGTCTCAAAATCTGGTGGTATTTTGCAGTTCTATCAAGAGTTGCATGCTGAATGTACTGTTATAGGCTGGAAAGCAAATGTTGTCCGGGCATCATAAAATAAATGAATAAAAATACTACTTTCGTCCCACGTTACCTTTGTCTCCGCTCTTCTCTAAATGTTAATTTTTGGGTGAACTGTCATTCATGTCATTTAACAACATTTTTCTTTCTCTAGACTACCTGCATCATCGAAGCAACTTTTCCTGCTCCAGTCATGAAGAAGATGCTTAAAGCCTTTAAAGTCATGAGAAGCAGCAAAAGCACTTTATTATTATTTTTAAAAAGTGATTTATTTCTTACACAACAAAGGCAACTGCAGTATTACAGTCAAATATCCACCTCGGAGGTAACCACAGTGAACAAGCAAGTGCTTAAAAATGTACCTGTCAAGCTGAAGCAAGGCAAGATTGACATCTTTTCAAATGTCTTCCCTGTTCATATCAGACACTGCAGACCAAGAAAAGATCCAATGTAAATAATGCATCAATGTACGCTTTATGTAAGCTGTCTAACATCCTGGTCAAAGTCAGCAAGAGAAGTCTCAGGACCAAGTTTACTTCATGTTTTTAAGCAGTTATACAGTACAAGTGAATATCATTATCTGAAGAAAACCTCAGGGATGATTTAACAACCAACAGATATTAGATAGTTTAAAAAAAGAAACCTGTAAAATTAAAACAAAACATATAAACCAACACATTCTCACCTGTTAAAGGGATATAAATAATCAGTGATGACATTTCAAGATGGCCGACTTGGTGAAATGTTTGAAGCTGTCGAATGTGGCATCTATATATCGATACCTATATGGCGGTGTGAAGAAAGGTGGCAAATGCTGGCAAATAATAAGGGGACTTATTATGCAAAAAAACTATTTTATAATGAGTTTAAACATGGTTGTGTGGCAGCAGTATGTGAATAAAGCTATGTTATATATAATATATTAACTAATTAATACAATTATGTAAAATCACGCTTCTTAAAAACAATATGTAGAAACAGCTTGATTGACATTCTCCCTTTGTATATGCCATGGAAACAGCCACTAGATACTGCTAGTTTTAGGCAACAGCCATTTTGGAATGAAAACTCCAAAAGAACAACAGCATATTATAGCCTAAGTCTGTAAAATAAACTATTAAAAGTGCTGATGATTTTGATAGTATGTGTCGTATTGTCGTCTTTCAAGGTTGTATCTCAGATTTAATGCGTTTTTTAAATAAAAAAATAAAAAACAAAGCAGCTGCTTGGCTTCAAGACAGAAATAAGATCCAATGGATGGCCAATCGCTTTTACTCCAAAATGGCGGAATCGCAGGGCTGTCCTGGGCTCTGCTGTTGCAATGGAACATTCTATTAAGTGTCGCCCCTTGGTGATTCTAAGCTCTTTGACTTCACTAGCACACGCGTCAAACAACTGAAGCAGAGCTTGACAGGAAACAAAAAGAGGTTTATCATAAGCATTTTATCAATATTTTTTACACAGTTGGCATTAAGAAGGAACACACAAACGTTATCTGACTAACATCTAGTGGCTGAAAGTGTCTGGAAACACATTAAAAAAAATTTTATTTTAAAAAACAGCACAGATGTGAATGCCTGAATGTTCTGATTGGCTGGAGTAAATGTCTGATTTCCAGTAATTTTCCGGAAAGGTCTGTATGCGTAAAAGGGGCTATTCTTAACTGAATTAAAAGTGAAAGTCACCAAAAGGCACAATTTGGATCAAAGCCTAATTAAGGGGGAATTTCAAAGCGTTATAAAAAAAAAGATATGTGTGGTATTATGAGCTGAAACTTTATAAACACTGTTTTGACATTAGACACATATTTTACATCTTGTATAAAGGGACATAATAGGTCTCCTTCAATGCTTTTGGCAACCGACATTTTGCCAGAACTCCTCAATCGTGTGATCATTATGAATAGTTTTGCTGTTTCCTATTGCAGACTCTTAATCAAACTATCTCCAAACTTTACTTAATGGATGTTTCATGATTATAGCTGAAACATGGCAACCACAAACGTTACTAAAAATGTTCAGACAAAGTGGCAGCTATGACAATATAAGCTATTTATTTTATTGTTTTTTGCTTTCTAATATTTTTAGTGCAAGTCAAAATATACATATCCAAAGGGACCGTCCTCCATTATAGTTTTTCTTCTGAAGCCATGTTGTGATTTTCTGAGAGATCTTGAGAAATCAATAGGCAAGTGCTTGTTCTGGCCAAATTGTCGTATATGGAGTGTAATATAAAACAAAAGTGGGAGAAGCTGTTTTTAATAAGTTAACATTTTAAAAAGCAATTATGTAACATTTCTGACAAATTTACTGTTAATACAGATGTTTCTTTCTTGTGTCTGACAAGTTTTCCAACAGACACATATAAACTTGGAAACTAAATCCCTTCTGAAAATCCCTTAAAGCTTCTTAAAATAGTTTCCCACTTTAAATTCTAACTTGTAGTGGCATTCAGGCATGCTCAACTTCACATTCAAATTCACTTTTTCCAACAGGACTTGAAGGAACCAAAATCTTTAAATTTTGTGAAATATGGTTACACCACTTTCTGTTCAATTCAGAGTACTGTTCAATTTTTAAATTGTCCATAACATTAGCAGAATGATTGTTTTTCTGGTTGTAACTTTAAATTTTCCAAATTTTCCAATTTCTAATACCGGTTTTTTTCTATAGTGTTAGAAGCTAAAAAAAGTTTACCTAAAAATTTAAATATGCAGTTACTTTATGAACACGTTTGTAAACGCTGTGCATTAAAAATGTAACAACACTGTAAATAATTAATAGTGCATCATAACACCTTTTTATTTTTTATACCATTAAGCTCTTGTAAACATTGACTTGCATTTAATGAAACAACAAGGATCACGGTATAAGCAACACATGTAAATCTTCCTTAATGTTCTGCTGAACCAAATTAATCTTGTAAGGCCTTGCCATTTCAAATGAACAGCTTTTTAGGTGAACTCTCCCTTACAAGACTTTAAATCACACTATGGTGTTATGTTGCCCTATTTGCTCAATGAAATGAGAGAGAGCATTTCTACAACTAGGCTGAAAACATTAAGCATGCTGCATGGTTCTCTAATATCCATTTAACTACCAATACGGCTGCACTAATGTGATTTCCTAATTTTATAACACCAGTTTAAAGCTCTTGTGGCTATTAAAAATGCTATTTATTTTTTTCCTAAAAGCACTTTCCATCTTCCAGCTTTGATATTGACTTCATCTTAAAACATACCATCGTCTTTGCCTTTTCAGTATTCAGTGAACAAAATGGAATGTTCTGAGACCTGTAGTAAATCATTTTTTCATAACATACTGAAAAAAACCCCACTTAGAATATTTCAGTCTTTAGTTTTATATAATTTATATTACAGTTTATGTTCATGGTTCATGTCATTAAAAATAAAGACTGATAAATGTACATGAGTGATTGATTAATTTATGTGAATAACAGTTCAAACCTGCTCTGGTTTTACAACACTTGATTAATAATCTTCCTTTTTGGTAGAGTAACGGATATAAACGAATATAGTATCACGATAAATGATACATAAGCAGCTTCCTAAATAAGTTAGGAGTTTCAATTGTATTTTCTTAATTATCTCGTTGTAAGAGTCTATATATAGACTAGAATTGCACTTTTTTTGGCATCAGCTCTCATAGTGAAGCAACATACAGTACCTAAATACAGACAAACACAGACAGACACACACACACGAGGACAGAATAAAGGGCACTATTCTGCAGATGCTGGTTGTGGGTCTGGCTTGACTGCAGTTCTGCTGGTCTGGATGTGCGAGATCTGAAGAACTGGCAGCAGCAGCTGAAAGGCATTGTGGATGTAGGTAGTGCTGTTAGAACCCTGGGGAACAAGACACACAGCAGAGTGATGAAGGGTCGACATTATCCTAACTACAGTCATTATAATCATCACCATCAAATCCCCTGTAGTCAAACGAGGAGCATTTGTTGAGCAGAGCTGTGCCTCACATCAGACAAGCTGATGATCAGACATGTTTTTTAAGAATATTCTGAGATTGCATCTTCTTTTCGGAGCATTTGTTCCTTATGAATAGTTTCAGATCATTTATTAATGTGTTGTGGATTTGTCATTTTAATTAGTGTTGATTGTGTTCAGTACTTTGGGCAATGCCATGTTGATGTGCTATATAAATAAACGACTAATTAAATTATGCCTAAAATCACATTCAGTTTTACCTCCAGCATCACACTGTCCACTAGAGGATTTACTTCTTCTGCTTTTCTTTGACTCTGTGGAGAGAAAAAAGAAGAAGAATGTTAATTATAAACTTTAGATCAAAAACCTTACTTTTTATATACATTTATTAAGGAAAACTAAGAATAAAAACATTTCTGGACAATCCTTCTAGAACAATCTACTAGTGTTTTCACATTTACTGCGGCAACATAATGTTAGTTGCCAATTTCAATGCATGTTGCACTGCATGTTGACCATTGTGTATAAGTAGCCCAGTGTTTTGTTTTGTTGGTTCTTGTCTTCACTTGTGTTTGTGCTTATCTCACCTGCATGGTTGCTTTTCAATATTAACGAATATTAAAATACCTAAATCCTTTAATTCATTTGTGTGTGTTTTTTTAATTTAGTTCAGCAGATATTGACCTTTTTGTGTGTTATGTATTATTGCATTGCGTTCCTTCCATACGGATCACTAAACGAGAGAACATTTGTTTTCAAAATGAGTCGGCTCGTTTAAAAATGTAAGGCAAATGTCTGTTTGTCAGCTACCGAATCTCTGAATTCACACATTTGCCATGCTGACAGAAGGCACAGAAAGAGAAAGCACTCTGTGTCTGTTTTATTAACTTTACAAAATGAAAAATTACAGATTTCAAATATGTATTTGTCTTATTAGTACAACCCAAAAATGGTGAATGGACCCCAGAGGCTTAAACTATCAATTGATCATTTTTTAACTGTGTTTGTTAGCAATAATGATGAAACACTGACCAATGTTTTATGTAGCGCATATGAATAAACCTGAGCATAACTTGTAAAAAAAGTTGAGTATGTGTTGGAATTGCAAATGCATGCAATACTACAATAAATTTAAAAACACACACAAACGCAATAGTCATGTTCCTATTGTTGTAAAACATTGTTAAATCAAATCCATCTTTTGTTTTCTGTTGTTAATTCTGTCATAGTAGAAACATGTTCACAAAATAAATATTCCTATAGAGTGCAGCATACATCCATGTTCTAGTAACCCTTTGATTAGCTGGTTCATGTGTTTTTCATTTGGTTTTAAATGGAACCCTGCTGTCCTCAATGAAGTGGTTTGATCACCACCATAATCTATCTCTGTGATAGGTGGTTAGAGGAGAAGAGCTCAAAATTAAGACAAAGTGATATCATGTTTAAAAAAGTCAGAGGCTGAGCTATTTAGTCTTTACATTTAGTTTTAGACAAAAACTAATGTTTGTTTTCTATGCAATATCATCCACCGATGAATGGGAGAACATTTATAACTTGGTCATCATTTATCCTTCTTCACTTGTCACAAATCTTTGAGTTTCTTCCTTTTGCTGGACACAAAAAAATATATTCTGAAAAATGCTGAAAACCTGCAACCATTAACTTCCATGGCATTTGTTTTTCTATGGAAGTCAATGGTTACAGGTTTCAACATTTTACCAAATATCTTATTTTGTATTCAGTAGAAAAAAAGAAATTCAAAAAGCTTTGAAACCAAGTAAATAGTGTGTACATCTTCAGTTTGGGGTGAACTATGCCTTTAAAATCACACAAACACATTAAGAAAGTAAACAAGGCAAGTTTTTGAATAAAATTAAGCTCAGGTAGACTCACCCCTACTGCCAGTAATGTATCTGAGAACTTTCGGGCCAGGCATCTGACCTCCTTACACATGGCACTGGTTAGCCTGAGCAGTCAATAAACAGTCAATAAACAGAGAATGATTTGAATTCCCTAATGCAGTCTAATAATATCTTATGAAAATGGATGAGGAACTCACCTGACCAGAATGCTGGCCTGTTGGCAGGCTGGCTTCTCCAGCTCTTGTCCATGTAAAATCAGCTCAGCCACCTTATGCAGCTGCTCTATACTGCGAGCAGTCACTTCTGCAAGGCTGCCTACTGATGACAGATACACCTTCTACAAACAAACAAACAAAGTTGTATACATTTTATGCATTTTCTTTGCAAGACATTAATACTTTTTCAGCAAGGATGCAATCACTTGATCAAAACTGACAGTAAAGATGTTTATCTGTGAAATACTATTAATAAATGCAATTCAATATTCAATAGTCACAGCCATGTCACCCTGCAGCCCAAGACCGGTTACTTACTGAAGCTAAGCAGGGCTGAGCCTGGTCAGTACCTGGATGGGAGACCACTAGGGAACACTAGTTTGCTGTTGGACGTGGTGTTAGTGAGGCCAGCAGGGGGCGCTCAACCTGTGGTCTGTGTGAGTCCTAATGCCCCAGTAAAAGTGAAGGGGACACTACACTGTCAGTGGGCGCCGTCTTTCGGATGAGATGTTAAACCGAGGTCCTGACTCTCTGTGGTCATTAAAAATCCCATGGCACTTCTCGTGAAAGAGCAGGGGTGTAACCCTGGTGTCCTGGCTAAAGTCCCTCTATCGGCCCTTAGGACCATGGCCACCCAATCATCCCCTTCCACCGAATTGGCTCTATCACTCTCTCTCCACTCCACCAATAGCTGGTGTGTGGTGAGCGCACTGGCGCCGTTGTCCTGTGGCAGCCGTCGCATCATCCAAGTGGATGCTGCACACTGGTGGTGGTGTGGAGAGACCCCCCCTCATGACTGTGAAGCGGTTTGGGTGTATGGCCATACACAATAAATGCGCTATATAAATACACATTATATTACATTACATTACATTACATTACATTCTACTTATCGAACAATCCTCGAAAAAAAAACTAATTCCAGTTATTATAGTTCAACCAAAAATCCTTTACTCCACTTGTTCCAAGCCTGTTTGAGCTTTTTTCTTCATCTGTCCAATAAAAAGGAAGATAATTAAATAATTCTGTGAAGCAGCAGCCATTGACTTCTGTTGTATTTTGATGGAAGTCAATTGCTGCTTTCTTCCAACATTTTTTAGAGTTGTGTCAAACAAATGATTTCATAAAGGTTTACAACCACTTGAGTGTAAGTAAATGGTAAAGACATTTGCTAATTAAGCAGCATTTCTATCAAATATGTCAAAGAGAATAAAAAAAGTCACTTCCTAAGCATTTTTTTTTCAAATATTCCAAAATGCGCATAAAATAGATCGATGGAAACATACTGTAGCTAGTGTGTCTATACACCTACTGAAACCTATTTAGTCTGCCAAGACCAAATACATTGACACATATTCATTTATACGCTAAAACTATTTTCATTCTTGTCATGATATACAGTGCTCCGCATATACGAGTACACCTCCCCAAATCTCTCATTTAAAATTATATTTTCTGTATGATGCTTTGCAATATTATTTTTGTGCATATACATTAGTCAGAACTGTAGCCAAATCTGGAGCTTATCTAACAAAATAACTTACAATAACGGTTCAAAAATTAGTAGCCCAAATGTATATATTTATCACCTGACCTGATATACAATTTATAAAATATTAAATAAAAAAAATTTTAAATCAAGAGAATCAAAAGATTAATTAAATTTTGTTGAAATGTAGTTTGTATTTGTTGCAATATTTTGCATGAATTTAAATGTATCTTTCTATTCCTTAAGATTTTCTTTGACTAAAATATTTTTTAATAAATATACCCGTTTAATAAATCTATTTTGTTCAAACTCACAGATATAGAGTACTTGAAGAAGATTTCTATTCTCTCAGTGTGAAGTATTTTCTAAGTGTAAAGCAGTTAATTTTCTCTTCACAAAATGTATGTAGTGTTTACAGCAAACATGCCAGCGTGTGTTAAAAATACAGTGATATGTCTGTGTAAGATGAGTATGCCATTGCCTGTATAGGAGCAACACTAGGAGAAGGCTGAGTGACTGATTGTGTAGAATAACTGAATATGTAAAGCACTGATCATATATGTTAAATACTTGTATGAAGCTATATGTGTCAGAAGTTAGAATGAGTAACATATTATCAAGTTATTATCCTATCATGACAATGTATGTAAACACTTAGTTCCTTTGCATAAGTTGCATCTATACTTTGCTGACATAGACCTGTAACATCTCTGCTGACATGAGCTAGTGGGCTGAGAGCCAAGAATAGCAGGACCCCTTAGACTAAAAACCTATTCAAAAATGGTCAAGAGTTAAAAAGAGACTTAGGGGTGTGTCAAATAATCCTGTATAAAAATTGTAACTAACACACTGAAACTTCAGAAGGTGCAGGAGAGACTTCAGAAGGTGTCCAGGAGAGACTTCAGAATGCTCTGGGGTCTGCTCTGCTCTTTCTCGGCTTTATTATGGAGAATAAAGTCTATTTTCTGATATTCAAAAACCTCCGGTCTGATAATTTGTAATTAATGAGAAGTCGAATTTACGACATACTCATATTCACTGAGAAATGGATAAAAATGTTTATTTTCAAAATGAGGTGTACTCATATTTGCTGAGCACTCTAAATATATAACACGACAACACATCTCACCTCAACAGTATCTGTTTTCACATCCTTTGCATTACTTTCCTCATTGTCTCCCACTTCAACTTTCTCTTTCTTTTTATCTGTTGGTCCCTCCTTTTCTGGAGCAGGGCAAGCTTCATCCGTTACACTCTTGACAGCTTCCTGAGACTTCTCCACTTCTTGCACCCAGTCATGAGCTTTAATACGGGCCTGCAGGGCACATGGTATGATTTGAGTTGTAGCTTGTGAATAACATGTGTGTCTGTGTGTTAGAAAGATAGAGAAAGTACACATTTGCATTGACAGTGGATATACATGAATGTGTTTAAAAGTGTGACCATACTTTGTTCAGCTTGTCTGGAGTTGCGGCAACGTGGAGCTCAAAGAGTAGTTCGGTAAGAACACTGACAAACTCCTCTCCATCAGCAGCTGAAACACACAGATAACATGAATTTTATGCCCAAGAGCAAAAATGGGGAGGACTGAAAAATTTATAACGTTCTGACTGAGTCGCTTGTCATATCAGATCAATGTTTGTTCATTGAGATTCGCCAATATTGGGCTTGTAGCATAGTGATTCAAAGCAGAATTACAGACTATATTATCATTTCACAGGCTTAATAATTATAGTCGAAGCCAAAATTATTTGCTCTTCTGTTATTTTTTCTTTTAAAAATATTTCCCAATAGTTGTTTAACAGAGAGAATTTTAAACATAATACTTTAATAACTAATTTATAATAACTTTTTTTGCTATCATGACAGGGCAAAATATTTTTCTGCTTCTTTTGCAATATGCTATTATTCAGCTTAAAGTGTAATTTAAAGACTTAATTAGGTTATTCTGTTAACTAGGCAAGTAAAGATAATTAGGTGATTTATTGGATAACAGTGGCTTGTTCTGTAGACAATAAAAAAAAAAACATTTGTTAAGGGGGCTAATAATACTGACATAATAATATTAACATTAAATACCTTAGAACCTTTTCAGAAAATGCAAAACCTGCTTTTATTCCAGCCATGCTAAAAGAAAGAAAACTTTTTTTCTAGAAAAAATATTATAGGAAACACTGAAATGTTTCTTTGTCTGTTAAACATCACTTGGGAAATATTTGGAAAACAAAATGGAATATTACCACAAATATTATCACAGGAGGGATAATGATAACATTGACTTTAACTGTATGTAGATTATATAACTGCTCATTTTAAAGGAATAATTCACCCAAAAAGGAACAGTTTTATAGGGCTACACGATTTGGAGATAATTGCAAAATTAAAAATTTTGATTTGCGATTTACTATAATTTCATAAAAGAGCGACAGGTCTGATGTGACGACCAAGAATAATCACATAGTACGCTACACTATGCTTCTGTTTATTTAAAACCATTTTTTTCAATAAAGTTATCAGTTGTCATGACAAATTAAGAAAATAATTACAATTTAATGATTTAAAATCAAATAAATAAATTGTATATAAAATCTTATCATATATAAAACCTTTACATTCAGATTGTTACATTTTTCATATTTCATCCACAATTTTAGACTTTAATCCACAGCACAAGAATTCTTAAATTAAAATATAGAATTTGTAAAAACATATTTATATTTATGTTCACGTGAGTTTCTTCCGGTTTCCAAATACATGCGCTATAGGTGAATTGAAAAAGCTAAATTGGCAGCAGTGTGAATGTGTGTGAATGCAAGAGTGTAAGGGTGTTTCCCAGTGTTGGGTTGTGGCTGGAAGGGCATCTGCTGCATAAAAACAATTGCTGGATATGTTGGCAGGTCATTTCACTGTGGCGACCCCAGATTAATAAAGGGTCTAAGCCGAAAAGAAAATTAATGAAGTTATATTTATGTATTATTTGTAATAAAATTTTGTCCTTTAATACAGCAGTCAGATAAATAAACTGTAACTTTAATTCGACCTGCTCAAAGAAAACACTCTTTGAATGCATCGAACAAAACTCAAGTGCATGCACAGAACAACATGAGTATTTATAGCAATGTATAGCAAATGTAAATATAGTCCTGCTTGCTTTTTGAACAATGCCGAACGAGTTTTTAAATACCTGCAATCAGTCATTGTGTTAAGGCACACAACAGAAAGGGCTGCGACTGGTTAGGGCGGCTCGGGGGTTGTTCACCAATGAGTGACATGGATACAGATAAACGGCCACAGTTGGCTAATTTTACAGTCAACATATTGGCTCATTTATTAATTATAATATACAAGATGTTTCTGTTACTTTTAAAGACAAAATTTTTGTTTATTATGCATCTCATTCATTCATTCATTGATTTTCTTTTCGGCTTAGTCCCTTTATTAATCCAGGGTCGCCACAGCGGAATGAACCACCAACTTATCCAGCACATGTTTCATGCAGCGGATGCCCTTCCAGCCGCAACTCATCTCTGGGAAACATCCATACACACTCATTCACATTCATACACTATGGACAATTTAGCCTAGCCTTTAAGTAAGGTTAGTTGGATCGTTTTAATTATTCGTGCTCGCCTCCCTTGCCATAGCAATAATCAAAATATTTACAGCTTTTGTAATTTGAAAAATCGCATCTTTTCAAATCGCAAATTCAAAAAACAAAAAATAAGTTTCAAATCGATTAATCGTGTAGGCTTTTTTCTTCACCATTTACTCACACTCAAGTGGTTCTGGTCTTTTAAAAATGTATTTCTATTTATTTCTTCTACTCAGAACAAAACAAGACATTCTGAAGAATATTGAAAGAAGCAGTCATTGAGATCCAAAACAGAACTCAAAAATGCTATGAAAATCAACTGCTGTTTTAATGTGTATATTTAATGTGTAAATAATTACATATTTTATTTTGGGTGAACTATCCCTTTGACTAAGATTAGTTTTTAAATACAATAACTGAATGTGATGTTGTAATATGATTAATACAAAATCATTCAGGAATTTTAATACAGATTAATCAAGCACAGGATCTTGATTGTGTGCAGGATTTGATCACACCAAAATGTGATTTGGCCTTGACTCGTGTTTTGGCTTTTGAAGACTCACAGAGAGGGGTGGAACACTGAATTTGTGAATAAAGATCACCGTTTTCCCCTGAGGCGGCCTCAGGTTCCTCCTCCTCACGACTGATGAAGATCTCTTTAATCGCAATCAGATCCTTCTTCAGAACTTCTAAATCCTCCTCTTCCAAAGAGCATAAGAATTCCTGCACCTGAAATGAAAACAGTAACACAATAAAAGGAAATAAGGCCTTTCATGGCTAACTTATTAGATATGCTGTATTTATTTGATACAAACTATAGTAAAGAGTAAAATTGAAGACATTCATTGCAATGCAAATCCCAAAACCCTTTTAAATGTGGATTTGCTGCTTATTTGTTTACGATTGCTGTTTATATCTATTATATTAAGATTCTCTGATATATATTATGCTCATAAGAGCAACATATAATAGAAATAACAATGTTAAAAATCTTTTCTGATACCTATGGCCAGTTTAATGCATACTAAAATATAAATTTCAGAAAAAAAACGAATGGTAATGCATGCTAATGTAACTTTATGTTAGCGATATCACTCTGCTGTTTCATTCTTTACACTTAATACATTTATCTAAACTCAGATTACTATTTTATATCCATTTAATTCATTAGTTTAATGAGTTGCTACTGTAATTGTGGAATACCTGATCAGTCAGCTGACAGCTAATGCAAAATAAACCTCTTTATGTAGAAACAATCAACTTAACAAGGGTTTATTTTACTGGATAATGAGCAAAAATACAGGGGAAAAAATATTGGCTAGAGATTAATTTCTGATGACAATACTGCATTTTTTTGCTTGTTTCTTGGTGGTAAAAGATATTATGGGTGGGTGAATGTTGGTGGTGTGTAATACCTACCCTCCCTTCACTCTCAATGGAGAGTATCTCCAGCGCCTCGAGATGAGACAAGCCTTGGTAATCATCAAACAAGATTCCATAGTGTGCGGTTGGTTCTGTGACCATCTGACTGCTCAGTCTCGCTCTCTCCTTCTCCTTCGCTTCTTTTAACATCTGCAGACAACACAGCAAAAGCACATAGATCAGACACAGTAAGTGCCAGTCTTATCAACATATGCTAAATTATGGCAGGACTTTCCCACAAAACCACAATTTATGCAAGTATCTTAAAGCAGTCGGCTGTCTGCAGATTAACATAATGCATTTGCATGATTATAGTTACAATATAACATGATCTTTGTGGGTTAAAGAAACACTTCACTGTTTGGGAAATCTCATTTTGCAAGTCCCTTAGAGCAGTGGTTCTCAAAGTAGAGGTCGGAACCCCCCGAGGGGTCGCGGGGCAATGAAGGGGGGTCGCCTGGTGATTTCCAAAAATCTATTTATTTTTATTAAACCATAAGAATTAACATATTTTATCCATAACTATACTGAAAATAAAAATAGTCATTTATAGTTACTATATAGTTACTATAGTAGCTTATACTGTAGTTATTAGTTCTATTGGATTGCGACCTCTGGGTTAATTACATTATATTAAAGGCAGCAATAGCGTCAGATGCATTTTGATTTTATAACATCAGGTTATACTTTCTGGCACATTAAAAGCCCTGACATACGTTAAAAAATTTAATTGGTGTGTCTGCGTCATTGCATGCAAGGTTTCTGTATTTATAACCACCTGAGAGGATTTTGGGGGTCGCGAGTCACTGGCATTGTTATTTTGGGGGTCGCGGGCTGAAAAGTTTGGGAACCCCTGCCTTAGAGTTATACAGATGAATTTAAATATTGTTGTTATCATTGTGCCTTTCCTTGATTATTACGCTGAACTGAGAGTATAGTTCCAAGCAATATCAACCAAGAAAATAGTGACTTTTAATTTTCCGTCGATATGATACATTATGTAAATACAGAGGGGTCAAGCTTAATTATTGAAACTTTTAATAAGCAAGATGCTAATGGTCTAATCCAGTTGAATGATTTATGCTAAGCTATGCTAAAAGTACTCCCGCCATACCCGGAGATCGGTTGAATAGATTCACAATAGTCAAACTCAAGGTCAAACTTGTAAAAAAGGGCCTATTTTAAAATAAGTATGAAAAAGTCATTTGAGTGTTCCTTTAATGATTAATTAGCATTAGCCTGGTGTTTCACATGACATGTAATCATGGTGTAAAATGTTATTTGATCATTTGCTGAGCATCTAACCTGAGACAGAGAGACAGTTCTTTGCATTAGTATCTTAGTCTTTTTAAAGCCTGGATCACTCTCTGCTAAGACATTCATGGTCTTCTTTCCAATGAACTCCAAAGCATCAAGACCTCCAGTTATTACTGACTTTCCCTAAAAAAAGCAAGAAGGATGAATTAGTATGAACATAAATATGATGGTGGATATGACAGATTAATATATCTTGAGTGAATGAAGTTGAGAGTTTGATGTTGTTGCCTGTCAGTGATGGTAAAGCTGTGTGTAATACTGTATGTGTGCAGGCTCACAGTGTTGTGAACAGCGCTGCTGATGGTTGACAGTACTCCTCTGTGCGTCTCCTCTGCATGAGCGTGTTCTGCCTGCTCCGTCCCAGAATGCTCATGGGCCTCCTCTGCCTCCTCACATGTTGAGCTCTGACGTATCCGCAACGCCACACCTGCCTTCTCTTTCACAGAGCTAAACCCTTGACCTAAAGACGACAAAAAGAAAATTCATTATTTAATGTTTTGTTTGCTTTGCAAGGCATAATGCACACAAAAGAGTGTCAAATTACCTAATTTACAGTCCCAATTGTTTTGTTTTGTACAAAGAAAGAAAGAAAGAAAGAAAGAAAGAAAGAAAGAAAGAAAGAAAGAAAGAAAGAAAGAAAGAAAGAAAGAAAGAAAGAAAGAAAGAAAGAAAAGAAAGATCTGTGGTGACCCACAGAATTCTTTGATCACTTACCCACAGTTGATGTGGCAGTGGTCAGAAGTGTCTTCCCCCAGGATCCCCAACTACTCCAGCCTTTAGGTTTAGACTCATCTGAGGCCTAATAACATATATCCAGGTAAGACACAGTATTTGAATTAAGAGTTTTGTATAATGCTGCAAAATATTACTATGACTGCTTTAATACCTCTGTTCCCTGAGCCTCTACTTGAGTAACATCTGGGTCCAAACTCACAGACTCCACACATTCAGCCACCTGACCCTCTGGTTTGTCTTCTAGCAGCTGTTCTTGCTTCTCTTTAACATCTTTGGCTGTACTGTGCTCTTCTGCAGCCATACTGCTTGAGTCAGAGGCTTGTGTGTCTAGTGACAGTTGAGATAAGGAGGGGACTTCATCTGTATTGACTGCAGGTACGGGGGCAGTTTCATCAGCAGGGGGAGATTTTAGAGCAAGGTCTTCCCCAGTCTCATCTTGCGACATGGTGCTCTGAGGAAAGCAGATAAACAAACAGTGTAAAAAAAAAAAAAAAAGAGCATGTAAGCAGCTGATGATGATTGACAGAAAACCGACTGACTAAGGGTTGAAAAATACTTGGATATTTAGGATTTCTGCAGATTTTATTAAAGCTAATTCAAAGTATATATTTAAAGCCCACATTAACTTGAAGAAGCTGAGAGTTTTAATTCAGTATGTTGATGTATTTTCAACTAAAACTGAATGTTTGGTAGGGGGTGTGGCTGTCTATTTGCACACCATTCTTTCATAGCAAACTAATGGTAAAAAGGGCATGGTTACGAATATTGTTTTGAAAACTGTCAAACTGATGTCAACAAAGAAGGATGGCCACTCTAAAGTAATAATTGTAAAAATAAAATTAATCCCTAAGATTAGGCGAAATAATCAATAAATTACTCAATAAATTAATCAATATAAAAACAGTCGTTTGTTGCAGCTCTACTTCAAATGCAAATGGTCAAATTTTGAATAAAGATTGCTGAAAAAAAAGAATAATTTTCATTAACTTGCAATATTTGCAAAACTTGTGGATTAACTTGCACATAATTAATTAATTATCTAAAGCAGGGGTGCCCAAACTTTTTCTTGAGTAGAGCCAAAACCAAACTGACTGAGGCTATTGTGTGCAGAAGGTAAATATAGTGACCACGGACAATTTTCTCATTTTTTAAATAATATTTTTAAAATGACTAGAAAACATTGCTTTATATTAAGTAAAACATAATTTTAAAATTTTATGAAGAACTTATTACATTAAAAACAATCTCATTTATAAAAGAATTACACTATTTTTGCCTTGAATTCCTTGCTGATGTTATCTGCAAAGTCATCTGTCGAGTGACAGCATAACATTTTACATTTTGAAAAAATCTGATTCATTTACAATATTTAAATGAAACATTTAATTTCAGTTTACTTTTTTGTAGCTCAGCAATAAAACAAAGAAAAAAGGTTGCGTCAAACTAGAAGTGACAATCTCTGTGTGAAATGCGTTCACCCCAACCCAGTCCATCATTTTCACTGTCTTTTCAGATGGGATGGTGGACCAAATCAAAGGTTACAATGGCCAACTTTGGCCCGAAGGCCCTACTTTGGGCATCTCCGATCTAAAGAATAACATTGTGCACCAGCAAAATAAACATGGACTTTAAAATAATGTAAAGAGGATTTTGATTGAAGGAAGATGAATTGTATTAGCAACACTTCCAAGTTTGAAAATACAACTTTATATGGATGCCTGTTACTTATTAATTCATTTAAAACACATCTTAGTGTTTGAAAAAAACTCTTCTACCATAATAATAACTTTTACTTTTCCTTCTTTGTCGCGTTTTCCAGCACTAAAGGTTTCATTACATTAATAAAAGTTGTTTCTTTGAAACTGATGAAAATGAAGTGTTTATTATAAAGCAATACTATACATATTTACCAGTTAGCAGTAAAAAATCCTACTTAGTTCAAATGGAAAAGTAATTTTTATACAACTGTGTGAGACATTTGCTCTAAGTATAGCTTCAACTCTCTTAATTTTGTTCAATTTCTCAGAAAATTAAACTTAATTTACTCATTTGCACCTCGTGTACGTGTATCTGATTTAGGGATGTTCAGACATTTATACTGAAAACAGAAATATGGTCAAATATATTCATTTTTGTAGTTAATGCAGCAAATAAAAGCATCAGTTTAATGAATAAGATTTTCTGCTCTTGCTTACACTGTGGAAAGTGTGAATTAAGACTTGCAGAAACCCTTATAATGACAGATTTTAAGAAAGAACACACAAGCACAATAAAAAGAATAATTATTATGAACTTGTAAAAGAATCGTATAAATGATGCTCAGGGGCCTATTTCTCAAACATGCAGATATCTATATAAATTTGTTTGTACATACAGAATACACTGGGTGTTAATGCATTTAAAGGGATAGTTGACCCAGAAATAAAAATTCTATCATTGTTTCACCCTTCACTTGTTGAAAACATGACTATTTGACTGGGACCCAATGATTTCCATAGCAATTTTTCAAAATAGATAAATATTTTCTTGAATATTTTCACAGAATAAAAAACTCATAAAGGTTTAAAATCACATGAGAGAGGGTATAATAAGGTAAATTAAATTATGGGTTGCTAACATCATGGTTATAATCATTTCAAGCTTATCCTAAAAGTATTAAAAGCCATTTCTAGGATGTTTCTAGATAACTGATGCTCAGAATAATTGTATTAAACCTTTTGTTCAAATCATCAGTGTATCTAATTGGATCATAATTGATTCTTAGTGAATTTGTTTTGTTGTTGTTTGCTTCCAAATTATGCCAGGAATTCCATTAGAATTCCTTCAGGATTATGAGATGGAATTCTTATTTCAAAAAGAAAAATCATATTGTTTGGCCTCCATGAACTTTATGTATGAATAGGTGTATGTAACTACTGTAGCAGCATCAGTTGCACTACTATACTGTCATTTACAAATCCTCTCCCGAGGCCTTATAGGATAGAGAGGTGTCCATTAGAAATCTGACATTGCAATATTTTGTTTTTCAGCTAAATATATTGTGATATACTGTATCTGTCTATAGCAGTCCAGCAAATTATTAAATAGCACTTTTGTTCACACTTTATTTTAAGGTTCAATGAGTGCAGACTTTTGCTTTAATAAACTCCCAATTTGATCCTTATTAATAGTTATTAGGGTAATTTAGGTATTATGTAGGATTGGGGATGTAGAATAAGATCATACAGAATATTTAGTTTAAAAGTACTAATAAGCAGCTAATATCGCAATAACATGCATGCAAGCAACTAATTAATAGTAAGAATTGGTCCAAAGTTTTAGCAGAAGTATTCATTTTGATAGATCAGGATAATTCTGTAGGGCAGTGAAACATGTATTAATTGTAATGAGCAAACAGAGGTAAAGTTGGTTTTATATTCGCACATTCGTTCATTTAGCAGTCTCTATATTGTTTACTATGTTACGTTGAATATTCGATCGGAATTAGCATGCAAGTATGACTTCTAAACAACATTAACACTATCTAATTCACTGTAAACAATGTCGTACTTTGATAGTCATTTGCTGCTAATATGATTTCCCTATTTAGAATTTGCAAAGAATACTTTTCTGTAATTATATTATTAAAGAGTATGTCTAAATATATGAATATAAAACCAACTTTACCTCTATTAAACAAATTACAAGCAAGGATAAATGCAACAAAGCAAAGATACAAGTGAAATAAACAATGCATGCTTTATGGTTTTGTATATGTAAATGAAAAAATTAAACTACAAAGTCAACTCAACATTGCATGTCTATGCAATGTGACTACTGCAGATGCACACATTGCGATATCGAGACTAAAACAATGTCATACAGCCCTAGTATGGGTCAAAATGATCGATTTTTCTTTTATGCAAAAAATCATCTGAATAGTAAGTAAAGATCATGCTTCATTAAGATAATTAGTAAACTTCCAACTGTGAATATATCAAAACTCAATTTTTGAAAGAGCCATGTGCATTGTCATTAATTTAGAAAACTTTAAAGGCAACTTTAAAACTTTTGTTGTAAATCTGCTAAATATTATCCCATCCCAATGTAAACTTCAATTAAAAAACACTAAAATAAAACACTGATGACTGGTTTTGTTGTCTAGGGTCACAATTTAGGATTTGGTTTTACAAACTATCATTGCACGTACGACTTATTATTAATGTAAAGTGTATTACACATGGAATTATGACTAATGAATTGAATGCAATGTACAGTATGTGTACTTGTGTGGGTGTGTGTGGAAAGAAAAGCATTCACACATAGGCCTACAGCTGGAGCCGCGCTGTCCCTGAATGGTGCCACACTGTCAAGCGCCTTTGTTTAAAGCGGATTGCGGCGCCATCTAGTGGTTATTTTCCACACGTAGAAACCTCATTCAAACTTGAGTTTGTAAACAATGGTTCAGTAAAGTAAAATACACCATGTATAAATTTAAGCAGATTACAAACAACAGGTTATAAATCTTACCGTTTCTATGCAGTAACATAAATGCTGTGTAATGACGTCTCAAGTTCTGTATTTCCATAAAAAAACTAAACGCCCATGTTTATACAAATCGTTAATTCGTTAATATAGATATATCTCTCGTTTTAGTGCACACTATTTATTTAAACATTGTAAACATATATAAACATACGTTTCAAGCACTTTACAAGCGACGGTTAAGGCGATTTTGACTCAAATAATACAATTATATCCAAATACATGGCAACAACCGCGACAAGTTCTCCGTAAAGATAGTCTTAATGCTAAAGTGCAAAACAAACGCATGCAAAACCAACATATATATTATTTGTTGTGTAAATAAAGTAAATTGATGGGGTCATCCCTTCTTACCAGTTGTGCTGACAGACAGTCGCGCTCCCGCTACCCTTTCCGCTCGAGCTCGCGCCACGTCGGCAGCGGGGTCGCGTGCGGCGGTGGCCGGTGACGTCAGCTGAACTTTTGGCACTCAGGAGACAAGAAGATAAATACTGAACAAAATACAGTCGCATTTCGTGTATGTACTACAGTAAAGTGCTACACACAGCTGCACGTGGGTCTAAAACCCTTCTTTGAGAGAGACAGTGAGGTATTTATATGGTTGAAGTCGGCTTTTAAGGTGGCGTTGAAGTTTAGAGTTGGTTTTCAAAGAGGGAAATCTGATAACGTGAAGGATGAGATAACTGTCACATTTTAAAAGCAAGTTTTCACATGCCTGTCAAACTACTTATATTTCATTGTTAATCGTTTGATACTGAGTAAATATTTGATATGGGTCCGTCGGTGGTCTGCCTTAACTTTCGTCATGTCTTTTACCCGGTCATCTTACATTGTCGGCTCGTTGGTCTAGGGGTATGATTCTCGCTTAGGGTGCGAGAGGTCCCGGGTTCAAATCCCGGACGAGCCCTTCTTTTCTCTACTAAAAAGTAGTACGGCTGTTTCAATATTAAGAAAACAGTAAAAATGCAAAAAAGTTAAGGTAACTCAAACAATTTGAGAAAACTAATTGCAACAAACCATTTAAGTTCAAATACTAATCCTAATGAGTACTGTGAACTTAATCCATCTGAGTACACAAAGCAATTTGAACACTGTAAAACCCAATAGTTTAAGGCAACTCAAACAGTTTGAGGAAACTGATTGCAACAAACCATCTGAGTTGAAAAACTAATATATACAAGTACTGTGAACTGACTCCATTTAAGTTGAAATAATGAGGTATTTAATTAATTCATTACCTTCAACACTGAATTCAAAACTCTTTTTAAATGAGTAGAATTAACTTTCAGTAACGTTTGAGTTAACTACACTCATTTCATTTGATAAAAAGTTGATTACACTCATTTCATTTAATAAGTTAACTGTTGGGTTTAACAGTGTAGAAAAAAATAATAGAAATGAGGATCAAAGAAAAAAAATACAATTTAGAGATGTTTTAAGTTCAAATTCAGAAGAGACATGAGATACTATGAACACAGTTCAGAGTAAAAAAGTCTGAATTTTGAGTCATTTTGCATTTATTGCTATATCAGACTATTTCTTATAATTGCAGGTTCATAGGGTTTCTCACAATTTTTGCAATTTAGACCTATTTTCTCAGAATTTTTAAATTTGTCTTTATCACAATGGATCCTTTTCACACGTTTACGGTTATCATAATCTTAAATTGTTGAAAGTTTTTAACATTTTGATTAAAAAAAAACACATTTATACCACATTTATAACACATTATATCAACTCTGCAAAAATTGCATCAAATCTCTTCTGGTTGCCATTATCAGTCTCATACTATTTTTACATTTATTTTCCTAAAGTCTTGATAACACCATTGTGAAGTTTTTCTTTTATTTTTTAAGCAAATGGAATTGTAAAAAAAATATTTTCTGTACTCACCCATTCATGCGCTCAAAGTTTACCCAACTATGATGACCTCCGCTACTGAGAAACCCAGAAATGTAAAAAGGAACCAGAGGTTAAATATCTGATTTGTTTCTCCATTTCTTTTTTTCAAAATTTAATTTCTTATTTTTTCTTCTTCTTCTTCTTCTTCTTATTATTATTATTATTATTATTATTATTATTTGTTTATTTATTTATTTATTTTTTACAATTTTATATTTCAAATTTAATTTTTTCCCTCAGAACTCCAATTATCAGAATTGGCAATACCCCCAATTACAGAAAAGTCGAAATTCTGGATTTATATCTAACAGTTCTGCCTTTTTTCCCCCTCAAAATTGTTATTAACATTTCAGAATTCTCTTTTTCAAGCTGCTACTTTATTATTATTTCTGTTTATTTTATATATTGTTTGCAATGGCTAGGATTCAATTCTGCAAATTCAGATTTTTTTTACTCAGAACAGTGATTTTCAGAATGTAATTTAACAATTCAAAAATTATCTGAATATTTTACAGTTTTGACTTTTCTTTGACTCCATACCTTTACAATTTACACTGCAAGCATTGCAGATTTATTTCTCACAATTGTGCATATTTTCCTGCAATTAAGTTTATATTTTGTCATTCTGCCATTGTCAAAACAAGCAATTCTGAGAAAAAAAATGTCTGATTGCTTTTAATGCTGAATTAAACATTAAAACACAATGACAACACATTTATACAAAATATTCACCATAAAAAGTTTATTGAGTGATACATATTTAAATCTATATAATACAAAAAATGTCTGAACAATTTAAAATTCACAGTTTATATAATGACACAAGCATACTATTCCCTTTGAACTGTGAAAATACATGTACATTTATAGAAAAGACAGAGGATTCACATCTTTATCAAAATGTTTAATTTTTAGGGATTGAAGTTAAACCAGAATCAAACTCTCTATAAATTGCCCATTCAGTCATATTATTCCACTAAAATATATATATATATATATTAATATTTCCATTATCCTATCTGATTAGTTTCTTTCTTTTATTAAATACAGCTTTGCTGTGTTTTATACATTAGACCAAAAAACAACAGCTTCATGCCTTTTCTCTTTATTTCTTTCTCTAACTCATCGCAAATGTTTCTTTAAGGACTTTTTCCTTTCTTATTTAAACTCGCCCTTGTTCTTTTCCTCCTTTGAAATATTCTTTAAAATTGTCCTTCACATGAGAAGAGCACAACAGAAAACTGGTCTATTACAAACAACTAGAAGAAAGAGAAAAAATATGGAGATATCGCCCAAAAGCTTCAAGCTACTCATGGCCCCTTTTTTAAATCTATTTTAAAGTGCACTGTTTCCATTTACACATTGCCCTTTAACAAACATTTGTTCACATAAAAATTATTTGCAAGACAGAAAAACAAGAGTACACTTGTCCCTGTATGTCTCCACGATCATTAAGCAAATCTCCCTCACAAACATAGTATTAGCAGTAGAGACGACGCTACCCATAACCTAGATGAACTCACTGCAATAAAATAATGCCCCTTATTGAATGGTTCACATTTTTCTGCACCTAAAAACCCCTCAATGAAATAACGATTAACCCTTTTGAGCCTCAGACACTGATAAAACAATATAACATTTAGGATAATATGAATATTCATGATTACAGAAGTTATTCAAATATGAATAATGGTGAGATTAAAATAAAATGAAACTTTCTATAAGTCCTTGCAACTAACATGTACTGTATGTGTTTTAATACCCGCCTATTAACATTTAAGACACCATTTTGACCTCTCACAAAAAAATTTTTATAATGTATTTGGGGGTAAAATCATTACCATAATTGTATTACTAAATAGTAAATTGTGCATGTGTGTAGTTGCAAGAACTTACACAGTACATAGTACTTACGGTAGTAAACTACGGTGTTAATTAATGTTTACAATTAATTAAACATACCACTGTTTAACCATTTCTGTAATAGGTCAGGTGCTCGAAAGCTACTTTTGGAACAAAAAACTTAGTTTTTATGTTTAGTTTTTTCAGTCACAACTCAACTCTCAAGAGTCAAAGTATAACGACTGACCGACCCAATCAAACAATCTTCACAAAAAAAAATAAAAAATAAAAAAAATTGTATATATATATATATATATATATATATATATATATATATATATACATGAGGATGCATAAGACAATCAGCTTTGGTCTTTACACTGAAACATGAAACACATGCTGAATACATATACAGGATCTGTGTATACTCATTACATTTTTATTAATAATATAAAGGAAAAAAATTCACATTGTGCAGGTTTGACCCGAGCTGCTTTCTAAAACAATATTACATCTGTGAAACTGTTGTGTATGTGTGTATTTGTGACTGACATACTGCTTGTGTATTTTTGCTTGTTTTTTTTGTGTTTTTTTTTGTAGTGAATGGGCCCTCTGACCTGCAGTGGGCAACACAGAACGGCAGAAAGACGTTTATGGAGAGAAAAGGTGCTTATTGTTTTGAATATGGATGGCATTTAATTTAGTTTGACATATTTGGTTTACATACAAGGGTCATATCCAAAGCACTATCCATATTTGATACCCACAGTAATGTCCACTTGGATAGTAAAATCCATCATATGATCCATCATTTCCACTTTCTTCCTAAATGAATAGTGTCCTGAACAGGAAAGGAAAAGGATACACAAAAACATCCACTGAAGGTAAAAGTCCTGGTGAGCAACTGCTGCAATTTCTGCTCTATTCATGTGTTGCAGTTTTGAGTTCAGACAAGAAGATGGCGCTTCTTGTGGAGGGCAAGGTGATCGGAGCGAGAGAAGGTACGGTCACAGTCTGGGCAGTGGAATGGCTTTACACCTGTGTGTTTCCGATAGTGGCGTGTCAGCTCATCTGAGCGGGCGAACTTCCATGTACAGCCTTCCCACATGCACTTATAGGGCTTCTCTCCTAATAGGAAATACATAAAGATGATATAGTCATTTATTCACCCATATTAATCATTTTAAAGTAAATCTGCACTTTCAGATATTGATAATGATTGAACTGAATTTTATTTGACAGATTTATAAATTATTTAGATAATTTTAAAATAAAACCATTGAGTATAAAAACACAATAAAGCCCTGGGCTTGTTTCCATTGGGGTTCTAGATAATGTAGATGGATAATTAAGATAGATCAAATGGATTTTTTTTTTTTTTTAGAAAAGTAGTTAATATTACTATTTCAATATTAATATTTCAATATTTTAAACTGAATTTTATTCGACAGATTTAAACAAACTGTTTCAAAACATTTCGAAATAAAAAAACAATAAAGCCCTGATGGGCACAATGCTTCTATTGTGGTCCTCAATACATTTTAAGATGGATAAAATAAAAAAGGAATTTTAGAAAATTAGTCCATCAGTGTTTTGTTAAAGTGTTATAAGCCATGAACCAAACAAATTAGATATATTTGATTTGAAGTAAAGAACGCTATGAAAATCAGACAAAACGACTGTAGACTCAATGATGAAGCAACATTGAAGGAATATAAACTATTGTGTGGTGTTTGTATCTATACACTATATTTCAGGTTTATAGTAAAACATGCATATATATTTTCACACTGAAGTGTTTTGAGAGCGTAAAAATTTTAAATCATATAATTATAGGCTTAACAAAATCACATTATTTTGATTAAATACCTTCCATTGTACTATTATTTTTGGTTTAATGTATTTCTTAAAAAGAAATGTAAGATTTACACTTTAAGATGTTTTAATTACAGATGAACAAGAATTTTTTTTTAACAAAACAAGTCAAAGGACAGGATAAAATTTGGAGATACAATACAACTATTTAAAAATCTAGAAACTGAGGGCTCAAAAAATATATTCATAGAACATAATCTCTACTTAACATTCCAATGAGATTTGTCATAAAAAAAAATCGATAATACTCATGCAACATACAGTAAGAAAGTTTTTGTAATGTCTAAATTACTTTTAGTAAGTTGTTACCTATTCAAAATCCAAAGTATTCTTTAGTGAAATCCTAATAAAGAATGTCAACATTTCAATAATAATATTTCAATATTTTAAACTGATACCACTGTATATAGTCTGGCTTTTTTGTTGTTTTTGTACAAAATCACATTTTATAATATTTTAACTTTTAATAATGTGATGTAATTACTTATGTGCAAAAGATGGGAAGTAACTAAGTACAAATACTTTGTTAATGTACTTAAGTAGATTTTTCTGGTATCAGTACTTTTGCTTATTTTTGCAACTTTTTATTTCTACTCCCTACATTTTTACAGAATTTTTTTTTGTTTATTTTTTTTATTTATTAATTTTATTTTTATTTTTTTGTGGTGCAGTCTATAAGATTTGCTGTCATTGTGTAATTTTAACTCCTTTTTTATTCAATAGTTTTTGGGGGTTTTTTTGTCATTGTGTGCCTGCGTGCTACAGTGCAGGGCTTTTTTAACCTACACGCTCTAAGTAGGCTTGTTTATTAAGCTTACCATGGGGACGGCAAGAATGGCAAACTTTGATGAGAGAGAGGGAATCTGTGATGTAAACATGACTGATGTTATGTTTATACCAGGTAATAAGACGCATTTTGGTCGATCGGATCACAGGTAAATGAGACGCACAAAATATTTAAATGGTATCTTTGTCCAAAGCCCATTTTTTAACACTGAAATGATGTCTCTCTTACATGTCATCTATGTACATCTTAGATGTCATATTTAACCTACAAATCTTTGATTTAAATAGTAACAACATAAGAGCTAAAGTCTATATTGTTGTCGATAATGTACAGGGAAAGCCACTTTAAAAAATTAGAAATGTAAGTTGTTTTGTATAGATGTATACATGATGTGCAGTGTGGTTACCACTGTGAAACTAAAAAAGGTATAGTAATGAATACTTTATACTTAAGTACTTATTTCAGGCCATACCTATTTACATGTACTAGAGTACAAAAGTGTAATCAGTACTTTAACTTTTACGAGAGTCGTTTTTAACTTGATTAACTGTACTTCCACTTGAGTAAAGGATGTGTGTACTTTTGCTATCTCTGCTTATGTGTCTCTGTTTGTGCACAAATATCTGTGCATGTTTTTACCTGTATGTGTGCGTCTATGGGCTTTCAGATGAGAGCTTTTGGTGTAGACTTTATTGCAGCCATTAAAGTCACATCGATGAATTCTGCGTTTCTTCAACAGATCTGGAGATTCTACCTTTGGAGATTGTGTGTTTCCCCTGCTAAGGAGACAAAAAGAAAAAATATATATATTTATTATTAGTTTCCGTCACTGCTTTTTTAAGTGCACCTTTTATTTTAACCACCAGGGGTCAGAATCTTAATACACAGTTGATCACAATCGACAAATGAAACCCAGACAGTCCCCTTGTGTAGTGCGTGTATTTAGAAGTTAGTGTCACATAAACCAGACAATAAACCAGCGCAAAAAAATCCCCTTCATTTACTCTACAGTAACACCTCTAACTGTATATCGCTGCCTAGATACACCCTGTAATTAAACATATCTTGCTTCACTTTTCTTCTATCTTACCATACACCTTACACTCCCTGTCCATTTAAGCTACAGACATTCATATTTGTCTATAGAATGCCACTTATTATCCCACTTTTTGACATGTATGCTCCTAAAAGTAGCTGTTTTTTGGCCACCACACCCAATATAAAATTATCACATTACCTTCCTCCTCCCTTCCTCTCACCATCAAGTGCACTCTCCACCCTTCCACATAATTTTTTTTTCATCCCTTATTTTCCTTTTTGTCACACATTATGTCCATAACCAATGACACCACACCCAATAGACAACACACATACAAATCCAGTGTGAAAAAAGTGCGCTCAAGAACGGTTGCACTCACAATCAGAATACTAAAAACAAAACTCCACACACAGCATTCAAAAACTACACGCTCGTGCTCAGATATGTTCCCACCCCATGAGGGTTTGAAGAGTACATGGAGACACACTGTCTGTGAAGTGCATGCTGGGGGATTTTTATCAGACCCACAGTGAGAAACATCAGATAAACAATACGCGCTACACCAAACATGCATGCATGCATACATACTTTCAAAATCGAAAAAGAACTGAAGACCAAACCCATTTCAAACACAATTCCAATTGCAGAGGTCAAGTAGATTTTACTTGTATTGAAACATACAGGAGAAATTATTTGATGTGGCAGTTAGGATTGTTAGGAATCGTTGGATTGATGGAGGGATGGACAGACAGACAGACGGACTACAGACGGACAGATGGATGGATAGAATGAAAGACAAAAAAAGATTTTGATAGATGGAAGGATAAATGAATGGATGGAATGAAAGGATGAATAGATGTGTGGAAGGATAGACAGATAAAAAGATAGATAGACATACAGACAGAGAGACAGACGAGAAATAGATAAAAAGATTGACAGAGAGACGGAAGGACAGACAGACGGATAGATGGATGGAGAGAATAAGAGACAAAAGACGATGGATGGATGGATGGATATAATGAATGAAAGATGAATAGATGTGTGGTAGGATAGATAGATAGATAGATAGATAGATAGATAGATAGATAGATAGATAGATAGATAGATAGATAGATAGATAGATAGATAGATAGATAGATAGATAGATAGATAGATAGATAGATAGATAGATAGATGATGGATGGATGGATGGATGGATGGATGGATGGATGGATGGATGGATGGATGGATGGAATGAAATACAAACGGACAGAAGTAAGCATTGAAGGATGGATGGATGGAATGAAAGACAAAAAGACTGGATGATGTAGAATAAATGTAGATAGAATGAAATAGGGATGAATACATGTGTGGAAGGACAGACGGATGGATGGATGGATGGATGGATGGATGGATGGATGGATGGATGGATGGATGGATGGATGATAGAATGAAATACAAATGGACAGATGGATGGAATAAAGGATAGAATGAAGGATAGATGGATGGATGGATAACAAGATATAATGTATGAAAGATAAATAGATGTGTGGAAGGACTAACAAATAGACAGACAGACAGACAGACAGACAGACAGACAGACAGACAGACAGACAGACAGACAGACAGACAGACAGACAGACAGACAGACAGACAGACAGACAGACAGACAGATAGATAGATAGATAGATAGATAGATAGATAGATAGATAGATAGATAGATAGATAGAATGAAACAGACATGTTTAGACATGTTCTAAATAGCAGGATAAATGTATGTATGTATGGATAAAATAAAAGATGAGGTGAATAGATGGATAGGTAGATAGAATGAATGAATGAAGGATGAATTGATGTGTATAAGGATAGACGGATGGATGAATAGATAGATAGATGGATAAATGCATTCATAGAACAACTGAAAGACAGCAGCATTTGTGTAATAACAGTCTTCCATAAGGCATCACACAGTTTGTTTTTACAAGCAGATGTACAGTATTGCATGTCAAAAACCTGCTACAAAACAAGTTGTAACCTGCCTTACAGTCAGACACATACTGTACGCACACTCTAATTTAACCTACTTTTTATTTGTAGGATAACAAATGCAGAGTGAACAGAATGAATGATAGCATGTCTGTGTGTACATGCATGCATGTGTATGTGTGAGATCACTCACTCATTATAATTCGGTAAGGCAGTGATGACCGATTTCTCTTGGCTGTGGTTGTCCTGAGTATGTTCAGGGTGCGGCTCAGATTTGATTGGTTTGAGAAGCTCATGGTGGTCCGAAGTATTCTCTGACTTTATTACAGAGACTGAAGACAAGAGACAAATGTATCAAACATGCAGAAGCGTAAGGATATATTACTGTATTATTGCATCTGTCAGCCATCAAAACTCATGAGTGAAAGCGTTTGTCAGTGTGTGTTGTTTGCTTAAGGATCAGATGTGAATGTGTCTGTGTGTGTGTGTGTGTGTGTGTGTGTGTGTGTGTGTGTGTGTGTGTGTGTGTGTGTGTGTGTGTGTGTGTGTGTGTGTGATCCAGAATGTGATCTGGCTTACAGTGTTTGTGGTTGGCCGGGTCTTCAGGTGTGACGGGTGAGATTATGATGGATGGAGACAGGTGCAGGGAGGGAGGATACAGCACAGATAACGGCATAGGAATTACTGGAATCATGCCAGGACTCGATACGAAGGGTGTCAGAACCTGCGTCACCTGTAAACAAAAGAGAGAAAAACTGATAAGAAATGTTGCTGCTGTAGGAGTCTACATTTTAGATAAGCCACAAAAAGGTTGATAAGTTTTTTTATAGAACCAATAGCAATGATGAAAACTGATGAATAAAAACTATTTCTAAATTCAGTTTTAATTTCCAGTAAATTAATAAATGAACAATAACAGCAAAGAGTGGTCAATATCCAAAAAATGTCCTATGCCCCATTTGGTCCAAAACCCGACAGGTGGACAAATCTAAGCTTGTTTTTTATTAAAACAAATATAAACATGCACTTTATAAATGATACTAATAATAATAATAACATAATACAAAAGCAAATTATCATAAATAAATAGAAAAAAGTCCACCGAGATAAGGAAGGCATGGAGGTAGTGGTTTTTATATTTATGTAGAAAATAATGATTTTTTAAATATTTTAATCCTTAAATATTTTTACATATGAAAAAATGTGTGTATCATTGTACGTCTGTGTATATTAGAGCAATGTGTATGCGTTTAAGGGGCACAACTAACGCGCTCTGCGCTGGACTTTAGACCTGCTTTCAGCTGGTCAATTGCTCAGTCTATTTTAGTTCCTCAAAATAGCAACATGCCAAAAATGCACCTTAACACACCTCTTTTTTTTAGACTGGAACAACCATGAGTGGCGCAAATGGATTTACTATCTAAACAATGTGGTGCAAAATGGGAAAATTAGGGTTGTGTTGGTCTAAAAATAGCAACAAATCACATTAAACACATCTTGCGCCTTATTTCGCCGGTGTATTATGGGGCCCTTAGACTGTTACAACTCTTAACTGGAATCACTTAAAAATGTGAGGCAAAGAAATCTGAAATATATTTTAATGAGGATCAGTGGGAGACTATATGCCAGAATACTCTCATTCCCCTTTCCAATAGCAGAATAGATGAAGGAATTTATAAACTTTGTTTGAGCAAAATGTACTCCAATGTATCATCCAGTTGTCACAGATTTAAAACCTATTCAGAATCAATCATGCACATGTTTGCAGAATGCAAAAAGCTAAAAAATAAATAAATAAATTGGAAAGCAGGATTTTACAGCCAAAGCTTTGCAAACTCCATTGGACAACACACCAACACTATACCTTTTAATAAGCTGAAACAAGACAATTCTTGAGATTTCATTGAGGCAACTTAATTTTTTATGGTCAATCCACATAAAATTGGTAAAAGTATTAAGTTAATTTAATCAATTTGTGTTGGGACAACATGAATGCATTGTGTGGAACCCTGTATTTTTTACATGTGGTACAGAATTGAACAAGACACTTGATCCTTCTTCTACAAAGAGACTTGTTGTCTCCTATCTAGCAAAAAATGCATTTTGCTCAACTGGAACCAACAAAGGCCCCCAACATTTGAACTGTTCATACAACTATTGAATAAAACAATGATCCAATACATACTACTTAAGAAACAAAGGGGATGTCTTTCAAAAAATATAGATGCCTCTATTGAACCTCTGACTCTCTGACCACCTTAGATGTATTTTCATAATAAGTGTGCCTTTACTCAAGCACAGCAGAACTTTATGAGTTTATTATGATTTTTGTATTCTGTTTGTATTTATTTATTTACTTATTTACTTATTTATTTAATTATTTTATGACTTTTGCTGCTACACTTGTGTCTACTGGTATCCTTGTCTTTGTCTTTTTTTGGTATGTTCATTAAAACCAATAAACAAATAATTAATAAAAAAAAAAACCTACTATGCTAAAAAATTTCTCTTTTTAAAATATTAACATTTCACAGGAGAACTAATAAATTTGCTTTCACGTGTCTATGGATCACTGTAAAAATGCTGGGATTCACCCAATTTCTTCCTGTTGTCCTAAAACAAATCAAATAAGTTAATGTAATCGTTTTTACAAATTTAACTGGATTGAACATAAAACAATTAAGTTGTCCCCAAAAACATTCAGAGTTATGTTGTTTCAACTCATTTTAAAGTTTGAACAAGTAGCAAAAGTCACTTTTAAGTGAAGATACTGTTATTATTATCATTCTAATTAAATAATGTATATTTTGTTGTTGTTCTTACAGCAGGAATGGGAAGGGTGAGTGACGGGCTCAGCTGTCTGTTCTGAGAACAGCGAGAGGCAGGACTGTGTGCCTCATAGGGCGATGGAGGACTGGCTCTGGGTGATGATGATGCCAGAGAGGATGAAGGCGATGAACCAGAAGATTTGTTGCCGATGGATAAATCAACAGGTTCGATCTGGGCTTGATGGACGTCCTGGGACTGACGGTGTGAGTAGGGCAGCTGATAGCTGGGGTGGTAGTGAGAAGGGTACAGGTGTGCTCCACTGACCACAGCAGGTGGCAAAACCATTCCAAACGTCTCATGCGATTTAATCAGTGTAGAGTAGGGCTGGTATAATGACTGCAAGAGAGAACAACATTAACCACGCTGTGAACTCGCTAGCTTATTTACACATTCACATGCACATAATTACACAAGCGCTCATATAAAGCAGCTGCACTGAGAAGCAGTTGAGTCTGGGGACTATAAATCGACAAAAAAAAAAGAGTAACTTTGAATGACTGAATGAGAGCCAAATTCAACTTCCCACCCCATATAAACTCCTAACCTAATAAGAAAGGAATGCATGTCCATCTGCAGTTAGAGGAAGAGAGAAATTGGGAAAGAGAGCAAGAAGGAGATGAGTTTTAGAGATTTTTTTTTGTAATATCCTAATAATATACTCCAAAATACCCTTATTAGTCTCCATAAAGTCTTGTGTTGTTTGGCAGAAATGGAGGACTGTAGATGGAAACTGCAGTTGAGCAAACACAGTGCTGACCCAAGAAGAACAGGGTGCTCAGATGGCCATGCGCCATGAAGCCCATTGTGTGCTAGCTGGTAAGGTAGGTTTGTTATTGGAAACGGAAAGTGAAGCATTGTTTTCTTTAAAATCACATAAACCGGATGCAAAAAAAAAAAAAAAGAAAGAAAAACACATACTGTACAAGAAGCAGGAAGGTGGAGGAAAATCAGATTAGCCTAAAGCAAATTCTCTTGAGTAATACACTTGGGGTAGAAACAATCACTGAGAGATTGCTAAATTTCACTGATAATTACAGACGATGGTTAACGTTACCGATACTTGCCGGTTCCATATAAAATTAGATCTTTTATTAGATTTTTTTATTAAACAGTGGTTTACTGAACATATCGTTGCACTGAAAATATACTTATAATTACACATTTTTGGAAATTAATGAATATTTAATGAATATTGTATTACTGAATATTACTTGCATATATTAAAGGCTACAATTAACAACAATTAACAATATATATACAGTGTGGGGAAATAAGTATTGAACATGTTATGTTTTTCCTGGGAATAATATTTCAAAAGCAGGTTTTGATAAAAACCCAAACAATACAAACATAAAAATAGAACAAAACAAATAAATTTGGAAATATTTGCTATGCATAATAACAATGGAATGACACAAGGAGAATTTAATGATGTATTTAATACTTTTTATAAAATACTTTTTTGATGATTGCAGTTTAAAGATGCCTCTCATATGGAGAATGGAGTTACATGAACCGCTCAGGTGTGATTTTTTATTCACAGACATCAACAGACTGTAAAAATCTTGATCGTTCTGTGGTTTCATCTATAAAATCTGATCTTTGTTTTGAATTTTTTATTGGATTCAAGTCGGGTAATTGGTTGGGCCATTCTACAGCTTGATTTTCTTTCTCTGAAACGATGTCCTTGGCTGTGTTTTGGATCATTGTCTTGCTACAATGCCCACCCTGCATGGTTTCATCTTCATCATCCTGATAATGTTGGACTGAAGCATCTACTATTAATTTACAATAGCAAAGGGCAGAGGGTTTTTGAAGAACTACTGAGAGATTTCAGCTGCTGTCTGAGCTTTCCATAGATTTCTATACCTCCCTTTCTTCATGTGTTAAATACTTTTTCCCAGTGTCATTTCAATTTATTACATATTTGAGAGAGTTATTTTTATAAGAAAATCACAGGGCTAAACGTTTGTACAAAGAAAGTGCTTAAAAACTCAGCACAATCCCATCAGATCTTCAATACAAGCACATACTCTTGCAAACACAAAACAGACAAATATGCTGTGCTGTTTGAAGGTGTGTTGTTTGTGTGTGACACTGCCGGTGCTATAGGTGCTAATCAACTGTAGTCCATTCAAAGTAAAGTGACCCAGGACATGCTTTCATTGATATTCAGTGGAGTGCATGAACAGGAATGAAACGTGGGACACTGTATATATCAAAAAGCACTATTTTTACACTTCGTATGATCAATAAGTCATGACAACATATGTTTTTATATTAATAAACCACGTTTCAACTTAATTGTTCAGTTGTACAAGCTGTTTTAGGTCAGTTTTAAAGTAAGTTCATTGTATATAAAGAGCAAAACTAGAAGACTGCCAGAGTTTTCTTGTAAAGCACACTCCAATAATCTTCAAAACCTATTTTGTGTGTGTGAGTGTGTGTGGAATCGTTTCTTAACAGTCAATTGATATAGAAACTTTACCTCAAAAACAGTACTCACCATGTCTGGTTTTGGATCACACGTGAGCATGGCTGCTTCCAGTGGAATTCTGTAAAATAAAGTAGTTTAATCAGTTAGTGATATTAAAAAAAATACAGTCCCGCATCTGAGGTGAGCCATCAGGAAGTCATTCTTCATTCCAGGCACACAGAAGAAGGGAAGCATGAGAGAGGTGCTGAAACGCTAATCACTTCAAGTACAGGGGAAGTCAGAGCGCTCGGGGCTAAGAGCTGTTTTTGTGTGTGCTTCAACATAAGACTGCAACATTATTACAAGGCTTTTTCCCACCTGACCCACTTACTGAATACCCAGTGTGGTCTTGCGGAACAGAGAGGCCACATGTTACTATTTCATCTCCAGATAATCATCCGTTTCAGAATTGTACCACCTTTTAGGGAGTTTCTTCTTCAAGCTCTAGGGCTTTGATGTCCTGGTTGTTGTTTTTTTAATGCTTTATTTATAGGATATTTTTTTATTAAATTTGCACAAAACAAAAAACAAATATACAAGGAAACATCCCCAACACTAATTTCCCTTTTGTGGCTTTAACAGAAGAGACACAGCTAACAGTCCCTGGTTGTTTTTTGACTTTAATTTCACACTTGTGTTATGTGACATTACAACTGACTTAATCTTTTATATTTAACTCTTGAGTCCACTCAGAAATGCCAACCGGCCCAGCCGGGACTCGAACCAGCGACGTTCTTGCTGTGAGGCGACAGTGCTAACCACTGAGCCACCGTGTCACCCCAGAGTTTTGATCTTTTGGCTTTAATTTCACATTTGTGTTATGTGATATTACAACTGACTTAATCCTTTATAATTGTCGAGTCACTCTTGTTCCAGACCCTGATTTTCAGTGTTAAAATATGAAAATGAATAATTAAAAATGTATTATTACCTTTAAATGCACAGTACTGTTTTAATGTTTGAAATGTTGTTTTAAAATACAGCTGAAGGCAATATTATTACTTATATTATATTTAATAACATTATAATGTCACAGGAGGGTTAATAACGTCTTTAATTGTAAGTCGCATTTGATCAGCAGTCAGTAAACTAAAAATATTACAGTTTAAAATGACTTACTGTCTGTTTATATAGTTTTTCTTGTGATGTTTTTTCCTTTTAGTCTTCAGGGTCGCAAAAGTATTGACACGTATTCATATTTCTTTGCATTAAAAAACATTTGTGACATTATAGATGTCTTGATAGTAATTAAAGATGTGAAGTTCTCTTTAAAAAAAACTTATGGCCACAAAATTGACCGATAGTGTACATAAATAAAAATTTACTTTATATTTATATATATATAAATATAAATTTTATTTGTGATAACATTTTTTTTAAATAATAATTAAATAAATATTTATGCATACTACTCATATCAATCCAGATTTATCCAAAGTTTAATCCAATTTTTATGAAATTTGTCTTATATATTACATTAATTTCCAGCTAATTGCAAATATATTAAAATGTCATTTACATTTGCTATTTGACACACTACATACAGTAATTTCAGCTTTTACCATCAACAGTAACTATTGAAATTTGAAAATCATCAATAATTACTGTTAAACCTTAAGTTTTTTAAGAGTGTTAATCTTGTATTTGAGTTATTTTTATATCCTATATATATTCGAAATATATAGGGCAAAAAGTCTTTACAAAGAAAGGCCAGAAAAAAAGAGCTTAATAACTCTTCAGCAGCACAATCTCACCAGATCTTCATCATAATCATGTACTCTTGCAAGCACAAAACCGACAAATACATTGTCCTGTTTGAACGTGTGTGTGTGTGTGTGTGTGTGTGTGTGTGTGTGTGTGTGTGTGTGTGTGTGTGTGTGTGTGTGTGTGTGTGTGTGTGTGTGAGACTGCCGATGCTATAGGTGCTAATCAGCTGTAGTCCATTTAAAGTAAAGAAACCCTGGACATGCTTTCATTGGTATTCAGTGGAGTGCATGAACAGGAACGGGATGTGGAACACTTCATCAGTGAGCCATGAGACTAATTTAATGATATATGAGGGCTTTTACAGTCCAAAGTCTGGGAGAAAGAGAGAGAAGTCTGCATGTAAAGTCTCTTTTTACAATCATTAACCCAGGGCAGTGCTGTTAACACACACAGACACACAACAGTCTATAAAGTGCACTGAGTACTGATACACTCCCATAGACGAACATTCAGACACAGATATATAAACAGGACTATATCGCAAAAGACAATGCCACACACACATACACACACAGAGGCTTGTGAAACACTCCCATTGGCCCCAGGGTCAGGTGTGGGTTAACAAAACAACATACTAGAGCGTACACACAAATGCAGACAAACTCATCCAAACCTGAAACCAACAGTATAGAGTTCCGTACAGCTAATAAAACATAAAACAAGTCACAACATATAAGTTAAACGCCATTCAAGTTCGGTTCGGTTTTGAAATGCTTTACAGACAGGATGGTTATGTAACTAGACACTGAAATTGTTCAGCTGTTAATTAAAGCGTTGGCATGATTTATTCACTGTCACATTAAGCATGTTTGGGGGTTTTATTTCAAAAACACAAAATGAGAGGATTAGGAGAATGTACAGGCTGCTCATTTTTATTCAGTGAATTGCTATATAGTCAAAATATGATTTAAAAAAGTATTATAGTCTCCTTTTTATAAAAACTAAACTGCACATATATAACCTTACAGAGGACAAGTGGTTTAAAAATTGCAAATTCATTCATTCATTTTCTTTTCGGCTTAGTCTCTTTATTAATCAGGGGCTGCCACAGTGGAATGAACTGCAAAAATTAAAAATTTTTCTTAATAATTTTTATAGAAATAAGGAAAGTTTTGATACAGTTTAGTAAGATTTTTTTAAGGAAAATTTGTATCTAAACTAAATTTATTTGATCAAATATACACTGTAAAACCCAAAAAGTTAGGGTAACTCAAACCATTTGAGAAAACTGATTGCAACAAACCATTTAAGTTAAAAAAACAATCCTAATGAGTACTATGAACTTAATTCATTTGAGTACATAACGCAATTTGAGCACAGTAAAACCCAATAAATGAAGAGAACTCAAGCCAACTGAGTACTGTAAAACCCAATAAGTTAATGCAACTCAAATCGTTTGAGGAAACCTCTTGCTACAAACCATTGAGTTAAAAACTAATCTATACGAATACTGTGAACTTACTCCATTTAGGTAATAAGGTATTTAATTAACTCTTTACCTTCAACACTGAGTTCAAAACTTTTTAAATGAGTTAATTTAACTTTCAGTACATTTTGAGTTATCTACACTCATTTCATTTGATAAAGTTGAATGTTGGGTTTTACAATGTACAATAAATATATAAAACTGTGATATTGTATTAGAAGTATTATTATACACATTAATTATTCATTTTACACAGGCTTTAGTACCACCTTCAGTGTCACATATGAATATGCAGGGTTCCAAAATTCATTCATTCATGTTGTTCCACCACAAATCGATTTAGGTCACTTATCAAAATTTATGTGGTTTGAACATAAAACAATTAAGTTTTTCAAATAAAGTCTCAAGAATTGTGTTGTTTCAACTCTGAAGTAGTTTGGACAAGCAACAAAAAGTCTTTTTTGAGTGTGGTTGCCCCTCAAGAAACATTATTAATATAATCAAAGTTTTAAAAAACAGTTGTGTAATGGTTTTATAAAACAGTAGCAATGTTGTGGATTAATTGATTAAACTATATAAATGTAAAAGAAAAATCTTTATGACAACTTTAACATTTTGGCAAAAGTAAATATTAATTAAATAACTTTTTTTTAAAGTATCTTTGTGTATTCTTATTTTAGTGTCTACTTATCAAAGCACAGCTTTTCTTTTTAGCTTGTCTGCAGAAGTATCAAAGTCTGCTAAGCCCCTACATAGGAAATCTTATTCAAACAAACAATCCTTTTTTAAATAACAGACAGACATTTTTATCCATCGGCTGCTGCACTCAAACAGACCCCACTAAAGAAACATACTGTAATAACCATTTTGAGTTTTTCAGTATGGACTGTTTTTCTCCAGCTGTGGAGAAGCTCTTTAAGAATATATGATAAAGTGTGGCAGAGCGAAGTGTTCACAACTGTCCTCCGGGCTTGGCAGAGTTCAAGTGAACCTGTTACATTAATCATGAAGCCATTCACTGCCAACAGCAACAAAATACACACACACACACACACACACACACACACACACACACACACACACACACACACACACACACACACACACACACACACACACACACACACACACACACACATAAACTCGCACAACCCTTAATTAAACTTAACAGTCTCATAAAATAAGGTGGCTGGTACATTCTCTACTAGATGCAGTTATCGGAGTGCCAACTAGCGCAAGAATTCATGACACATCAATTACCAATAAATATCATTCTCCACTTCCAATTAAATTAAAAGTTTATACACCTAATTTTATTATAATTACGCCCTTTGTAAGTTAATAACTCAATCTGCTATGCCCTCCTCACGTCATATCAGATGACATGACTTAGTTGAACTTCCAGGGATTTGATTACATGTTTTAAATATGCATACTGTGGTTTGTGACCAAAAAAAAATCATACCACCCCCAATTTCTGCACAAAAAGCGCAAGTTGTAAATGCATTGTTATTATAATTTTCCAAGAAAAAGAGGGCTTTCAGTTTAACCCAATTGAATGTAAAGGGAATGAATAGGTTGACTGGAAGCAAATATTTCAAGAATTTTAAAGATCTTTTTGAATCAGACGTCCAGACACAGACAAAGTTCCTCTGATATGCAGTTTTGAATATTAATGAACAGTTTCAAAATCAAAGTGCACAACAAATATGACAACGTTGTTCATACATTCATTTTCCTTCAGCTTAGTCCTTTTATTCATCAGGGGTCGCCACAGTGAAATGACCCACAGTGAAATGACCCACCAACTTATCCAGCATACGTTTTACACAGCGGATGCCCTTCCAGCTGCAACCTAGTACTGGGAAACATCCTTACACACATAAACTGCGGCCAATTTAGTTGATTCAATTCACCTATAACGCATGCCAGGAGCAAACCCAAGCCAACACTGGCCATTCCTAACCCACTATAAAGAGCCAGGGTTTCTCACTACAGTCATCTTTGATTTGAAGAATCCCCCCTTCCACCCCTACCTCTTCACCTTTCCCTCCATAGGACAGCACGGTGGCCCAGTGGTTAGCACTGTTGCCTCACAGCAAGAATGCCACCGGTTCTAGCCCTTTAACAGGCCGGTGGTCGTTTCTGTGCATGTTCTTTCCGTGCTCACGTAGGTTTTCCCAAGGTCCTCCGGTTTCCTCCCACATTACAAAAACATGCACAACAATTGAATCGATCAATCTAAATTTAGCACTACAGTCAAACTCTCATCCTGCAGCATATCTCTTCATAGCATTCATTTTAGTCATTAGCTCTTATCAAGGGGGGAGTTGTCGAGATCTACCTGAGCTCAAGGCTCCCCTCTTGCCCTGCAAACGGGAGGGAACCAAGGGCTCCAGGACCTTTTAAGCTCAGGGCTCTCTCCCGGGACAGCATGCCAAACTTGCTTATAATCAATCATCAGCTAAGTGTGAACTCCTGAACTTGTTTTTATAATGTGTTTTTGTTGCTGCACTTTAATAATAAAATCAACACCATTGATCATTACTGTCCTAGAGTGTGCATAACTATCTGACCAATCAAAGCAGAGTAGAAGTCAGTATGGACACAAATTCGCCACCTGTCATTTGATCACATTTCCTAAATATTTGCAAACTGTATCAATTATCAGATTAAGCCATAATTGCACAAGTGAGTATCTCTGTGGTGAGCAAGAAGTACTGTAAAAAAAAACGGTATGCAAAGGCTACTTTGTTTATGGTTTGTATGTTTGCAGCACTAGTTATAGTTTCTATTTGCGTAATGACAATACAGATACCACTACCTTAATGTGGAGAGATTCTGCATTCTCTCATGCAAATGCCGAGCGTACAGTATGTTGTCGTTTCTGTCTTCTATGATCTGTTTGATGTGTTCGCGCAGCTTTTTGATTAAGACAAGACTTGAGTTAGACAAGATTTAGACAAGACTTTTGATTTTAAGACAGGCTTGAAATATACAAAGCTTTTGAAAATCTTTGAGCTGTTTTTTTTTATCACCTCTTGTAAGAGACCTCAATAATCAGGGCACTTTTATCTTTTTTCTTGAATGCCGTGATTTGTGTTTTAAAGTAGCGTGAATGAGTAGTTAAGACTGTTCAATGAACATTTCTGTTCCGATGTGTGATATACACACTTATATGTGTGATACTTATAAATTACACTTCGCTCAACTCTGCAAGTAGACAAATCCATTAAGGCACACACACATACACACATAAGACATAGAGAAAACCACAGAACGGCAACGTTACGCTCTAATGCAGTTTCCTAGCAGAGAGCAGTGGTCCAGCTTGCTGACATGGAGAAAACTGAAAGACCAAAATTACAAAGTGCAGAATCTAATAGCAAACCCCAAACCAAACTAAACAGAGCCGGCTCAAAGCACACAACCCGTCAAAAGGCTCTCAGATAACACTTTTTTTCTGCCAGGTGTCTGAGAATGCACAAGATCTGAGATTGAAAGAGAGGATCGTAATGTGGAAAACCATATCTTTTAATCGCACTAAAACCGAAGACTAAATTTAGCAAGAAGGCCACAAGGAGACTGTTATTGTTCCCATAGTGAGAAGTACATAGAGAGGAGCTCTGCTATAAGGGGGCCATAGTTTCCGTTCTGGACCTTCCTCAAACTAAAGAGACTTTGGGAAAGACAGAGAGAAAGAGAACGAGAGAAAGGCAAAGCAGTTTAACAATGGAATGCGGCACCGAAAACGATCCTCTTTTGTAGTGGATTGTTTGTGTGTGTATTGCGATAACATCAGAGTATTGATCCAAGGAAAGAGGGCTGTAAGTGGGTGGAGGGTCTAGGCTTGTGTATGAGTGTGTGTGTGTGTGTGTGTGTGAGTGTGTGTGTATTCACTCCCCCCTCAACAGCCTCCCCTCGAATGCTGAAAACAGGAAAAGAGGCTCCATGTGCCAGATGGAATGTCTGACGCAAACCTCAGCCTTGAAACAAAGCTCAGAATACAACAGCCTTACTGACCCTGAGACTTGGACTATCAGTTTTATTGTATTCGATTTTCACGCCTAACATGCAACATCAGCTATGCTTATACTGTATAAACAGTACACATAATCATCATACAGTTCAACATGCAGAGGCAGGACATCCAGTTAAATGAAGCCAAACGTCTCAATTGGGATTTAAGTCAATATGAGTTATATTAGATTGCCTCTAATATTTTAAGAATGAGTGTTCAACAACAGATAATGCATGGCATCTTAATTTTAATTCATTTTAAACGTAAAAGCGACCACACACAACATATTTAAAGATGAGTAGTTCATCACTACCAACTTGAACGAATCAAAATATGAATCAAACTGTCATGATATTTCTAGGATAGTCTGAATGTACATTAACTAACGCACTGGCAAATATGTTTTAATGCAATACTGCTTGTTAATAATTAAACATATTAACATATTCTCACCGTCTCCTAACACAGAAATGTGGCAACAATGTTATGTAAAAAACCCAGCTGAGCCAAAGGCAACATCAGCATGATCCATGTTGTGATTACTAAGTGGATTTAATGTCCCTGAAAATTACATTTGCATATGCTCTGGCGCTGATCATTAACGAACCGAGAGACTGTAAACCATATGAGACTCTAAGTGATGTCAATTACTTGTGCTGATACAAGATTAAAGTTAAAGTCCAGCCAAGAGCAAAGAATTAGTACACAACAGTGCCGGTACCAGTATAAAATCCGATGTACAGTATATATCGAGAGAGAAAGTGTCAAAAAGCAATATTAACACAACTTACACTTATCAAAACAATCCTACGCATGTTACTGACATGACCCTCAGTGTTTTTAAGGACTTCAAAAAATACAATAAAAGTGGAATTTACAGTAACAGTAATTCACGCTTTAACTGACTTTTACTGTCTTCCTAGTAATTTGTAGTAAAACGTCTAGGATTGAAAACAAAACTGAAAATAGATATGAATCTTCACTGTGTCAAAATCATCATAATTTATACATCATATGTCAATATTGCACTTTTAGAGCATTTTGTGAAATTTTGCAGTACAGGTCAAGTAAAGTTACCGCAAGAAAATGTATCAATATTAAACATATTTTAAATGTTAATAAACATAAAACGGTTATTGAATACCATGACTATTTTATACTTTATACTTGGCATGTTGAAGCTATTCAATAGTGATTTTTTTGTTATAAAATGTTTGTGTATGTAGGTTATTCACTGTATAAACCAGTCTAAATACGTACCTGTTAAACTGTAGGTATAATGTACATTTTACTTATACAAACATACTTTGTGCTATGAAGTTATGTATTGATATAATTAATAAAAATGTACACATTTTTTATCTAAAGCAGGAACGTTTGTTTTTCGTTGTTTCTAAATCAAATGATTAAAAGTGAATGTATATGGTAAACTTACATGGCAGTAAATATTCCTCAAGTCAAAATTGCGCCGTTATAAAGGAGCGCGGACGAAAGCAACAGGCTGAATCACGAGAGCGCGATACAAATCCAAATGACACACTTGCATTTAGACAGACGCCGAAAAACTTCCCCGAGAGTTACGAAACAAACTTTTTTGTCCAAGTGTTTAAAGTGGCCTGGGTGAATTGAGCGTCTATCACATGATGAGGGCCGGGCGGGACAGCGGGCGTGTGCTCGCGGGAGGTGAGGGTGGGGCGCACTCACAGGCGCGCTCATGGCTCCAGATACGCGCAACCGGAGACAGAAGAGAAGAGAACGGACGGTGTGTGTGTGTGTGTGTGTGTGTGTTTCTGCCTCTCCCTCTCCGCCCTTTCCTTCCTTCTCTGTTTGTGTCTCTCTATCTCTCCCTCTTTCCCTTCCTGACAAGACACGCCTCACAGACTTTCAAAGATCTGACGAGCGCGGATAAAGGTCGCCTGGTTCTGCAACAATGGGAGAAGACAAATGGCTTGCATAATCTACAAATTATGCATGTATTGTATTGTTAACTGTTTGATCAGTTGGTGAAAGGTGAAAAACTATGTTGGGGGCATGTTATAGAGAATTTGTTTTCTAATTTCTTCTTTTAAACATACGGAGTAGAATTACTAAGTCCTACTTTACGTGTGCAATATTGTTAGTATGTTATTTAATAAAAGCCTTTTGCGTTTTGTTTTACCGAATATAAATATAATTTTGTTATGACCAAATGTCTGTAAGAAAGTATAAAACTATACGCAGTGTTGGAGTAGGCTTAACGCATTACAATAACGTGAGTTATGTAGGTAATAATAATACCAAAGTATCAAAGTAACGAGTAACGCATTACTTATATATATATATATATATATATATATATATATATATATATATATATATATATATATATATATATATATATATATATATATATTATGATTATAAATGTGTTCCTTTTTAGTTTAATTAATTCACTTTAATAAAGAAATATCTGAATTAATATTAACAGTTACGTTGAATAATGCACTTAAGAGAATTTGCTGATTATTTTAAACACATTAAATAAAAAGAAATTAGAATTGTCTCGATGGACAGGGATTTTAGGTTACTACTAAGACAAAAAGTTAGTTTATACGTCTTGTCTAGCTCTTGGGTCAGGAATTTCTTAGAAGACCATGTGTATGTTAAACAGTACGTTGTTAATTGCAGACCCTGCAAGTTCTGAAAGTGATAAAATCTCCACATATGCCAAAGATAAGAAAAAGTGACACAAAACTATCTCAAAATTAACGCATTACTTATCATTAAAAAAGTAACGTTAACACAAGTTACTTTCTTGGGGAATAACTAAATATTGTAATGCATTACTTTCAAAAGTAACTTTCCCCAACACTAATTATGCAAAGCAAATATAGGGCTGTATTGAATTACATCATTGCACATTTTGTATAATCGTATACTTTCTTACAGACATTTGGTCAATGACAAAAATATATATAATTCTAAAATGCACAGAAAAAACTAAAGAGAAATAGTACTTATAAACACATCATTCACGCTTGTGTTTTTTAATCTTGTTTTGTTTTATTGAATTGCATTTATTTGAATCTATATAAAAAATAAAATAGAATATATATGTATAAGAATATGCAAAATATGTTAACACAATAAAATTATACACTAAACCTGTCACGCAAAGGTGTGTACTGTATGTATAGCCTGGTTGCTAAAGTTATTGTACACTGGAGTTGCGCCAAGTCATCAGCAACAATAACATATCGCATACCCAATGACGACAGTGCGCATAAACCCAACCTGTGTCTATTTACACAGAATAATCAAGCAAACTTTTCAGATTTACCAGACCTTCTCTAGAATTGCACTCGGCCACAACACTTCTGTTTCGTGCACACAAACAAAACTGTGAATTTACTTTCCTTTGGCAGTTAGGGGTGTGGGAGTGGAACTGGCCAAACTCCAGAAACACATGTTTGTTTGTATACGTGTGTGTGTGTTAATTATTGCACAAATGCTGCTTGCTTTCAGCTAGACTACACATGCGCTTTTAAAGGCAGAGTTCATATACTAATGATTTGGGTGAGTTACTCATCATTTACTCACCCTTTGCTTGTTCTAAATTCTAAAAAATAAAAATTTTCATAGAATGTTGAAAACCGTTATTGACATCCATATGAAAAGAAAAAATACAAGGAAAATCAACATTCTTCACAATATCTTATTTTTGTTCAACACAAGAAACTCATAAGGGATTGGAAGAAGCCGAGGGTGAGGAGATCATGATTACATTTTTGTTGATGAGCTATCACTTTAAATTGAACGATTATGACAGATTTACACCTTCAAAGTGTAGGTGTGTGTGGGTGGGTGTGTGTGTGTGTGTGACAGCTTGCCTCTCGATGATTTATTAGTAAAACAATAGCAGATGGTGTCATATTGTTTTTTTTTTAAATGCACAACAGAAAACGCCTTGGCAAAAATATGTTCAGGTATGTCGAGCTTATTGGTTTTGGTGAGTTATTAATAAAAGCTAGAATCCAGAAGTGTGTTTTCATCATCTTTATGGCATCTAAGTAAAATGTTTATATTTTTAAATGAGTTAGTGATTAACTCTACAACTTCCGTGAGCCCAAAATAGACTTCGAAAATATTTTTAGAAGGAAAAAGGATGATGTCACTATAGACTCATTTCTTCCAGCCAATGAGAATGTGTGATGTCACGGAGCATTTATCTAATCATTCAAGGCTTTGTGAACAATAAAACTGGCTTTCAACACGTTCCAACACGCAGTTCAAATAATATTCAATGATAAGTTGTTGTTTCTTTTACAAACAAATTTTAGAAATGACTAACATCTGTCGTTTCACACTGGACTTTTTAATGATATATTTGATAAAATGATAAATATAAATTAATAATCTTTTGTGTTCTTCAGATATTCAAATCCTCCTTACAAAGCTATACACATAAAACATACTTAAAGACACACACGTGTCACTCACATACCTGAAAGCAAACATATATTTTTTTTACAGTTAAATATACACACAGAGGAATGTTCTCTTGAAAGTGTACAAAAGCCTCAAGGCAGACATGAACTTAAAGAAGGTTAACGGAAGAAAATGAGGAGGCCAGAAGAAAAAACAGTCAAGTGTAAACAGCAAAAAACAAATAGGAACTAGAATACTACTTACTTATTATGATTATTACTGTTTTTCACTTATAAGCCATGCTTTTTTTTGTCATTTTTAAGTCAGCAAGGCACTTTTCACTACAAAAAAAAATATATATATATATATATACATACATACACACACACACACACACAATTGAAGTCAGAGTTATTAGCCCCCCTTTGATTATTTTTTCTTTTTTAAATATTTCCCAAATGATGTATAACAGAGGAAAGAAATTTTAACAGTATGTCTAATAATATTTTTTTTCTTCTGGAGAAAGTCCTATTTGTTTTATTTGGGCTAGAATAAAAGCAGATTTTAATTTTTGAAAAAAACATTTTAAGGGGTCAAAATTATTAGCCACTTTAAGCTATATATATTTTCCAATAGTCTACAGAACAAACCATTGCAATGAAATAACTTGCCTAATTACCCTAACCTGTCTAGTTAACCTAATTAACCAAGTTAAGCCTTTAAATGTCACTTTCAGGTGTATAGAAGTGTCTTGAAGAATATATAGTAAAATTTTATTTACTGTCATCTTGGAAAGAGAAAATAAATTTGTTATTAGAAATGAGTTATTAAAACTATTATATTTAGAAATGTCAATATATATATATATATATATATATATATATATATATATATATATATATATATATATATATATATATATATATATATATATATATATATATATATATAACATGATAATTTGTTTACAATACAATTAATATTCAAACACACGCTAATGCTTAATACCAACAATGTCAAGTTTCAAACAAGAAGTCAAACAAAGCAGACTAGATCTGTATTTCAAAACAATGGGCATAAAGTATTAGGTGTGTTTTTAATGTTTTTTTTTTTTTTCCAGTTTTTATAAATGGTTATACACATGCTGTATGAATATGTGGGTCACCCCATTCAAAACAAAAAGTTTCCTTACATTACATTCAGATATTATACAGCTGATTTACATAATATTACACACTCTTGTATTGAAAAATATTGATTACGTCTGAATTGAAAAGATTGCTGGTTGTCAAAAATGTATATATATGTATCTAAAACACTGAATCATTTTTTGTTTTTTAATGCAAAAAACAGCTCCAAATGACAAATTTTTTAGTTCAAATTTGGAAGTAATTTACTGAATAAATTATAAATAATTAGACAAACAAAACTTCATCAAAAAGGCACTTTATGCATGATTTAAAGAACAAAATTTATTCTAGATAACTATAGTAGACATTACATTAACAAATACTGTGTGTGTGTGTGTGCGTGCGTGCCAAGCGTGCGTGCCTTTGTGTGTGGATTGTTAAAAAAAAATTTAACTCATTTTTATTGAATTTTAATTGACACTAAAAAATGCTAACTGTTACAGTAACAATGTATCAAAATTTTAGACATTTCTATTTTATAATATTTTTAAAATAATACAAAAACAACTAAACAAATTATGAACATTTTAAATAAAAAATAGTTTTTAAAAAATAAAAATTAGTTTAAATTGACATTTAAATAGCTAATAGTGAAAGTAAAGGTTGACAAAAATTGTAAATTAGTTATTTAAAAACTAAGTTTTAAACCACTTCACTCAGTTATATTAAAACTAAGTGAAGTTTCACAAACTAATTACAGATGAGCATGTGATATGAGTGATCGCAGCTGGTCTGTCATCTGTAATTAGCAATAATCCAATAAAATTGATCCAAGCCTACAATAAATAGACCAATTTCACTACTGCCTTATCTTCATTTTGGAAGAATCCCACCTTCCACCCCATCTCCTCCTCTTCCACCTCTTATTAGGGGGAGCTATCGAGACCTGATCTCAGACCTCCTTATATGCTCACTGACCAGGCAGGAGCCCTGGGCTCAATTATCTCCGATCTCTCCCGGGACAGCATGCCAAACATGCTAATAGCGTCAAGCAATATCCAAGTGTGAACTTCTGAATTTTTTTTTAAAGATGTATATTTTTGTGCAGTATGATGTTCATTCATTCATTTTCCTTGTTTTTCGTAATTTAAAGTTGCATTTTAACATTGATCATTTATAGATGTATAGCA